CATGAGAGGAGTTGAGAAGGTGAGTCATAGTGTGCTAGGGAAGTCATATTATGATTGCAAAGCACATTTGGGAAGGAATCATGGAAAAGTGATAAAAGTCAGATTTGCAATCTTTACATGTAGGTCCAGAGAGTGACGTTGTTGCAATTCCTGTTTGGATTCATTTGTTGTGGCCCAAAGTTGAATTTCTTCATGTTTCATGTACACTTGTACAACTAGGAAGTAACCAAGACTGATCTGCTTCATATCTTGTCTGATTGGAATTTGGGTGAATTATTTCAAATTAAAATCCATCTGTTAAGTTACCCCCAATTCTTTTCAGTGGCTACTTTATGTTGTGTAGTGCAAAATCACAGGACAGTTCTCAGGCAATATGCCCCATCTACATTCATATTTGTCCTCCAATTACTGAAGCTAACAGAAACAAAGCTACATGTACATGTACCAGGAAAAAGCCTGTTCAAGAGTTTCACTCCTTCATCTTTATTACTTTATATGGAAGAAAAATTAACTATTATTGTAGAGTCTGAGGATAATGACATTGAAAAGCTGATTTTAAATGCTGCTCCAGAAAGTATACTGCACAAAAAAGTCAACACAATTTTCTGACAATGCGTGATACAAAAATTAATTGAAGGGCTGTAAGATAAACAAACCTCCTTTTGGTTGAAATGTTGTCCCAAAAAATTCACACTCGCCCCCAAAGCTTCACTTCTCAGCCAAATAGTAATTTATTAATATCTTGGACAATGTCGCAGCTGCAGACATAACCAGCCAACATACCAGTCTCTAGAAGGGGTTTATTTACCAACTGATTTTTAATTTTTTGATTAGAGATGTAGACATGATGTTGACATCTGCTTCATAAAAGAACATGCCCTAACAGTACACTTACAAACTGAATGAAATTTTAAAGTTGATTGACCAGAAAAAAAGAAAAAAAGAAAAAACCCCAACAACAAATTTTAGTACAGAATAATCTTTGGACACAACTGGGAATATTGTAAGTTATCAAAAAGTAGTGATCATCTCTCTTGGAGATGTTCAGTACATGAAACTATCAAAACAGCTGTGGCTTGGATTGCCTAAGAACACTACATAATCATTCAATTTATGAGGTGCAGATTTGTCTGTTGGTTTTTGTTTCCATTTTCATATTTTAAATCATGGACACTTAATTGTTTTCAGAATGTACTTGTGGTTAGCACAGTGGATTTTGGTAGAGATGAAGTTGCAGTGTAAGTACATATAGTTGTTTTTAATGCTCATAAAGCCCTCAAGCCTTATTAGTGACTAATTGGTGAAATGCAACTTTTCCTAACAGTTTCACTGCAGCAAGTAGTTAATAGGCGTGGGTAACTTTATTAAGTTGACAGTGCTACATATGAATATGAAAGTGATTTTTGCAGTAATGAACACTCCTTAAACAGTAGTGAAAATAAGGCTTGAATTGTTTTCAGGCCTGTATAATTTTTTTCTGGCCATATTTTTACCACTGTTTAAGTAGCGTTCATTACTGCGAAGATCGCTGTCATATTCATTTTTCAATTCGCAGGTCACAGATATGATTTTCATATATATACAGTCAGTGCTACATGTATCTTGACGTATGCATGATCACCAAATTCGTTTAACTAATTCAGAGAGAAAGTTTAATAGCTTTAGCGAGAAATTCCCTTGTCCAATTCTGATCAGGGAAGAGACTGTACCAAAGAACATCCACTAACACTATAAATACAGTTACCATATATGGTACCTCTTACTGATCTACCTAAGCTTGCAACGGAATAATTTTGGTGTGTGTTACATGTCCATGTACGTTTGTTGGTAATTTTTTTTTTTCCATTAGCGCCGTTTTTCGAGTGAATACCGCATAACAAATTTCTTATCTTATTTCTACCAGCTATGGTCTCACGAACAACATTGATGGGCAACACACGTTGTCAAATGTCCCTAATGGTCCAGTTACAAACGGAGTTATGAGCTTAGGAGCCTCGTCTGAAGGAAGCTTTGTCGCAGATCATGGTTATGACGAACGACTTTCACCTCATGTCACGCCAGATAACGTGACACAAAATGTCACACCAGGCACAAATGGACCTACACCTTTAAACGCCCATGAAAATGGACATGATACTCAAGAACATTATAATGAAGCCAATTCAACAGCTAATTCCACGGGAGTGGAAACAGCAGCCTCGTTAGCTCCACCAGAACACGAAGTACGCGAAGAAAAGAGTGAAGTACTGAGTACGAGAGATGGAGAACATGTTGAACTAGAGCAGGCACCAGAAAGAGATCTTAGTGATGGGTTGCCTTTGACTTGTGCATCCAGAAGTCCTGCAGAAGAAAAAGAAGCCGCCCAAGTACTTCAGGAAGATTCAAAACAACCATCAACAACGGAAATAAGTGAGTGGATAACTTGAAATTTAGAGAGTACAGTGTTGTACATGTTAACATGAATGCCAAAGAATCACTCTATAATTCAGCCTACATGCCCCATCAATCTGAACCAGAAGAAAATTTAAAGTCAGTTTTCAACCCTTAAAGCCTGTTTGCGTAACATTTCCCTTCCCCTGCCCTCCCCTGCTCTCCCATGTCCTCCCCTCCCTTCCACCTCCGGACACTTTTTCCGGTTGAAGTCATTTACACTATAAGTACATGAAAGCAAAGGAAATAGGACGGAAACCTCTCTAAATAACACAATGAACATTACAGAATAAACGGATTAAAAGATTAAATGAATCAATTAACCACTCAAAATTTGTTTTAAATTCGTTTCCTTTCAATTTCTTGTTTTTTTTTTTATTTTATTCTTAAAACTGTTTTTAACTTAATTTTCAGAAAGTGACTCAGCTGAGCAACAGACTCTTGAAACAGAGACTTCAAAAAGCCCTGAGAAAATCGAAACAAATGGAGACGAAGAGCCGATGGATGAAAATTAACATACAGTTTACATGTACTTCAGATCAGTGATAATGTTCCTATGTGTCAACAAATGGCTGTTCTCAATTCCTTCGAGTTCGAAAGACAAGTAACCTCACAAGATGAAGAGATCGTGGCCGCATAAACCACATTTTGAATGACACCTTCAAGTTGTTCAGAACGATCGTTCAAACGAAAGAACATTCTATTATTCGTAAAATTTTTATTTTATTAATATTTTGTTGGTTTGTTTTCTCATTCATTGTTTTAGTAGGAAAATGTCTTTATAGACCTCAAAAGAGAATTTTGGCTTTATATTGTCCAATCAAATTGCATTGCAGACTTTAATGTTTCCTCTCTGCAGCCATTACTTTGCAGACATGTTTTGTAGGGTTTAACTTCTCACGTGTAGGGGAGTCAGACTTAATTTCTTAACTAATAGACGGAAGTTCTGCTCTAAGTTACCTTTCCTTCACTTTTGTACTTTACATCTTCGCAGTTAACGCTATCCATAACTCTCAATATTGTAAACTTTCTTTACACATTGCGTTTAATACTATGCGTTTGTCTTGAACGTGCGTGTTCGGGAGTTTCTAAGGTGTTATTTCTGATGTCGTTCGCCTTCTTTTGAAACTTCCTTGGTCGTGACTGCTACTTTCACGTAATTTTTACCTATTCAGTTATCATCATTCAATTCTTTCAGCCCTTTTCACCAACTCTTCATGTTTTATGTTCTCTTCCTCCTTCCGTAGCATTTCCTCAAGGCTATTTTTGAGACTTTCTCTCTAGTTTTGATTCGAGGAGAGAGAGAACATGGATTTCAGTAACAAAAGTTTCCCAAAAGAGAAGGTGACGCTAATATTCGTCAGCTCTATGTAACATTAACTTGGGTTCAATTTAACAATATAACAAAAGCTATCATATGAAAGGTGGAATTTTCTTTTTTATCTATAAGTAGGAATTGCCTTCCCTAAGTGTAGAAAGCCAAAGCAAAAAATTAAATTAGTCAAACAATATTATTGACAATTTTTCGTAATCTGAAATGTATTGCTAATGCATTTATCAATTTGAAGCCTCAACATCGATGCACCCCCCCTCCCCGGGGGAGTTTGAACTTTTAAAGATTGTTTCGTCCAAAGTCCCGCCTAACGGGGCAAAATCTGAGTTGAAATTAATTTGTGTTGAAATTTGATGGCCAATTTTTTTGTAACAGGCTAGATGAGCAGCCGTGATTTTCTTCACAAAATTGGTCGTTTACCTGTTTAAACACCCCCATATTAAAAGATAAAACACGTGTATTCCACGAAAAGAGTGGAGAGTGCCGCTTCAAATTTCCCGCCCCACCCAAGCAAGATTCAAATTTCACCTCCCCAGGTGGGAGGACAGAAATGCTTGTGGTTGCCTAATGGTGATGTCGAAGCTTCGATTAATCGGTGCATAATTGCTTTTAAAAACTATTTTTACTGTTCGAACGCGAATTGCTAAGCTTTTTCACAATGTGGCGTTACCTAAGTTGCTCACCAATCTCATTCCCAGGGAATTTTGATCACTCTTTTTTTCCCGACCTATGGTCAAGGGAACAAGGACTCTGCAGTAAGATTTTTATGAAACGTATGAGACATACTGAAGGATTTCATTAAAACTTCTAAAGTAACCCATGGAAAGGAGACCATATTATCTGCGCATTTAGATGACTGAGTTTTTCCCAATTAGCCTACTTACTCCAATATCTTAATTCAGTACTAATTTTTTAAAAGTACCCTTAAGACAGTCTCAGATCTAGTGTACAGACCAGGCGTCATTTAGTAGGGGGAGGGAAAGGGGGCGGTGTTAAGGCGAGTGGAGCTCGAGCTTAGCTCGCTTCTGTTCGCCTGAAAAACGCAAAAAAAACAGATGATGCCAGTTCTTCAAGTTATCACTTAGCTTTTTTGTGTATTTCGTCACGCAATTTACTTTCCCGTAGCCAAAGGGCTCCTAACGAGGACTTATATTTACACGAGTAGTAGCCGCTATTCAAGAAATGAGCCCGCGCTGTTCCCTTCCCCACCCTTGAGAGTCGAAGGCCGGATCCGAGTAGACGCCAGATATAGCGTCTGAGTAGGAAGACAACGCCAAACAACGGTGGCAAAGTGCCATTTTGTCGAGATATTTCAAACCGGTTTATCAAAATTTCAGCCTCTAATAGAAAACTGCTGGTAGCATCGATCGGTTGTGGACGTCCCGTGATCAGCTTTTTTTTCAGGCTCTGTCATTGACCCTCGTTTCCAAGGGGAGAATCATAACGAGTAGGTGTGTACGTTTATCTGTACGACCTTGAAGTAATCCGGCACTGAGTGAGAGAACGACTGAAAGGTTGCAGGTGTGTTTGTGACTCTGTTTGTTATTGTTGTTGTTCTTATTCTCATCAGTAGCTGGATGGAAATTGGTTTCGAAACTAGTAAGCTGCTTCTCGATAGAAAACAATTTCCTCTCTAATGAATCGTTTGAATATAGCTTATTGTACACGGATCTGCCCTGTATAAATCCATCGTAGGTGTCGATATTTCACTGATTTGTGCGTGCTCGTAAGCGTCCTTAGATTATCAATCATACTTTTTGGTCTAATATCGGACGACGTCTCCCATTTAAAAGATCATTGACCTTGCGAAATACATCCCCAATCGAATGTGATCGATCGTTCGAGTGGGGAAGGAGGTCGATTCCATTGCAAATTGGGCGATCGAAAAAAGTGATATGCGGAACTTTTTAAGCGCATAATTGTATTTGATTTGTTTGGAAATCGAAGAAATTTGACTTAGCCTAAAAATTATCCCTGTTCTGATGCGAGAAGGAGTACATCAGTCTAACAATGTACATCTAAATAAGTTGAACACTGCAAATTAATTTAAAACAAAATATCTTACGAAAGTAAGGAAACTTCATGATTCTCTTTGTAAGGTCGTTGTCGATCAGCTTGCTCTCTACTGATTAAAAAATTGTTGAAATGTGAACAAAAAACCCTCATTTGCCACGTGGAATTCCCTTATGAGACAGAAGTGTTGTTGAGAGGATATGACTCAATCATAAATTAGTGGACAATTTAGTACAATTAACTGCCTTTAATTCGATTTAAGTGTTCATTTCCTCACTTTATAAGGGAAAGTGTTAAAACAACAAGTAATTAACTTAACACTGGAGTAAATATGTTTGAAGATGGTAGAGATCAAAGATTCATAAGCTCCCTTTTGAAAGCAAATCCATCTCAATCTAATTTGCATTTTCCCTCATTTGTTTTTCCTTGAGTTACATCAAAACTTTAATGTGCCAAAAAACCCTTTTTCACGAAAGCATACAGAACTTTGGTAACTTCAAGTTAAGGTCAACTTTCTCAATTTCACTGAATGAGGGACAGCCATCAAAATTAAGGGTGTAAATAGGCAGGTCAAATGAAATTAATTTCATTACAAATTGCCAGAAGTGAATGTTGATTCAAGAGACTCATATAGTGTACAATTTTATCACTCTTAAACTCCCAGAGATCAATGCAACCCATCAAAAGAAAAAAATGTTGGGATGATTACCAGTATTGATTTTCATCGTAATTTTGAGCCATATATCAAGAATTATCTTTTACGTTGTATAGTTGCTCAAAAAAAATCCAGTTGAAAATGACCATTAAATTGACTTTTACCATAAGCAAAACTTAAGTAGAGTTTTCACTTCCTTCTGCATTTTATTTTCACACCGTCCTATATGGTGAAAATTTACAACATTAATTATATTTTTCTAACTTATTTACAGATACCCACAACAAGTGATACTCACAAATATGGGTGGAAATCAGTCCAACTTGCCTCCCCGACCAATGGGCTTTGAATACATGTGTATTGCTGTTCGTGAAACAGACAAATTGCGCATTGTCCTTGGCACAGATCGAGAAATAAGCATTATCCGCCAGGTAATTGAGGAATCATGGCCCAAAGGGATTCAACAAGAGACATTCAAAATGAATGGTGTGCATGAATTCAAGTTGAAAGGAAATCCATTCTGTGCTGGCACTTCATCAAGTGATGCAATCATTTCCAGGAAAATGGCTGGAAATGTTCTGCACAGGCTTTACCGTGATGGATGGAAGCTTCAAATGTCAAGCGACCTAACACAGACAACAGATCTCACAACATGGATTTTCAAGCAAGATACCACTTCCATCTGTCCATCTTTGCCATTTCTCATTGTGGGTCTCAGCAGTTATGATAGTTTGATGGTACTCAATGGTCCAATGGACCTCCATCAAACGTTCAAGGATGTCATAGAGAAGTCCTGGCCCCAAGGAATACAGCGATGGACGTATGAGAATGATGTTTTAATGATCAAATTGAAGGGAAATCCCTGGTATGCGAATGGTGAGGATACAGTACATGCCAGAGTGATTTTACACACTCTTATTGGTGCACTGCAGGTCAAACAGTGGAAGCTCTATGGAAATTCCAACCTTAGGAGTAGTGCTAACACTCTATTTTTTGAGCATGATCCTAATATTGTGCCTGGCATGCAGTTTTCTCCCATCCCTGGAATGCAGTTTTCTCAGTCACACTTCACAATCAGTTTCAACAGTCATGACTTGTTGAGACTGATTGGTGCACCAGAGGGGCTGGTGTCTGCTGTTCGCAACACTCTTCAGACCTTCTGGTCAAGAGGCATTCAAGAAGAAAGATCCTATGCCGGCAGCTGGCAGTTCAAGCTACGAGGCACTCCTTGGTGGGCATCAGGTGATGAAGCTGTGGACTCGAGGTTTCTGGTTTTGAAGGTGCTCGAAGCTTTGCAAGCCTATGGATGGAGTGTGGCGGCCAGTGTTGATTGCTCAAGGAAAGATTCTGACAAGAGTAGTGTGATCTTTAAAACATCTCAGCCAACTCAGTCTCATTTCTTCTGCATCAGTTTGCATGAGACTGACAAGTTGCGGCTTATAAATGCACCTGAGGATGTCGCAAAGGTTTGTGAAAGTCTTTTCATATGATATTTTAGTAAGGAAGCAAAATCTGCATCAACCCTTTAACTCCCAGAAGTGATCAACATGAAACTTCTCCTCATAATATCCTTACACTATCCAGCAAATAGATAATGAGAATATTCAAACTTATCAGGCAGAAGTTATAATCTTGATCTAACACCAAATTATCATTACTACTTTACCAGGAAATGTGTAGCAGCTTGAGGGGAGAATTAATAATTTGATATTAGGAGTTAAAGGGTTAAATTAACTTTAAGTTGATGTATTGAGTAAGATACCTCAGTGCCTGTATTTACATTAAAGACTCGTGTCTTAGTTTCTTATTCTTTGTCTTTGGCACAATCAGTTGCAAAGAGCACAATACCCATGATCATTACTTGCCTGATAACTCCCTGAATTGTTCTCTACTCAGTCCTATTCACTACTAAAATTATATAAGTCTTGCTGTCAAGATATTGACAGTGTTTATGTTCATACACTGACTAGTTAACTTGCTCAAAATAACAACACTTTTTACATTTCTACATGTTTTTATCTTTAAGATTGATTGTACAGATTTCAATTGAAGTTACTGTTTTCTTGTCTTTCTCAGATTTGTCAGGATGTGATCCAATCCCAGTATCTTCTTGGCATTCAAAGGGTGCAGCTTTATGGTAAAAGCCTTGAGTTCAAATTTGTGGGTAACCCTTGGAGTTGTGGAATAGATGGTCATGATGGTATCCATGGCAGAAATATGTTACTGCACATATTTCGTGCTTTAGCAGGCCGCTTTTGGCGTCCAGTCACGTCAGCAGATGTGTCAGCCAAATATATCCACCAGGAAAATGGTCCTGATTATCCATTAGATGTGGATTCTATATTCTTTACCTATGATCCTTCTGCTGCATCACCATCTGCACCCCCCTATATGCAGCCACCACCTTATGGCTTTCTCCCACCCAATGAGGCTCCACCACCCTTTGCTCCACCTGCCTATGGTGCATATCCAAATCAGTGATAAAGTGGTATGACATCTAGTCTTGCATATGAAATGATTACCATAAATGGTGCTCTGAAAGAAGCCTATGACTGTATAGTGTCTTATAATTCCCAAAGGATTCTGAGTTACATGAATGAAACCAGTCCTTATTATGTCAATTACAATCAACTACTAATACTGTTTTGTCACCTTATTTAAACCCCCTGGTGGGGGGACTTGTCATGGAAAAAAGGTTTGTTAAGGGGGGGGGGGAGTTAGTAGCTTTGAGGGTTGGCAGATTTGGTCTTTAAAAACTCACAGATTGTGCAATTTTGCACAAAAGTAAGCAGATTTATAGTTTTGGAAATTGCTCTGGATTGCGAATAAGTGGGGTGATTTAGTGGAGTTCTCCAAGACTTTGTCTTACCTAGAGACCCTGACGAGCTAACAATTCAGTTTCAAACACCTAAAAAGACAGGAAACTTCATGTAAAATCAAGTAATATCCTATGGAAGAAAAGCAAAGTATATGTAGATACATTATGTAGTGAAATGAAAGCAAGCTAGTCACAAAGACAGTTTTTCAGTAACGCTGATTCAGATCTCAACGAAAAGAATGTTATTTTCACGGATCTAGCTAGAAATTAGTTTTTACCTGTCGGCAGATGTTTAAGCTTTTATTCTCCTCCTTCTTAAAGAATATTATAACTTGATCATAACGTCACAACTCTTTCTCTCTCATACTACGACAATTTACGTCATAATTGACAAATGAGTAAAAATGGGAAATTATTCCCCAGTTTAAACTTGCGATATTTAATAATCCATGCGTGATTAATTGTGACAAAAAGGGTTTACAGGTACGGTAACCCGCTCAATCTTTCGAAATTAATCAATTACTGGTGTATTTATACCAATGGAAAAGGGTGTTACAAAAATAAAGAAACAAACAATTTGAATTAAATGGTACTGGGCAATTCAGAATTATCCACAACTTTTTTCTGTTATGAAAATACGTAATCAGTTGCCATCGTCTTTGGAAAAAATTGCCTTCTAGAGGAACGTAACACATCTTTCATCAATAACTATTCATGTTACTATTTGTTAATATGTGGCATGTCAAAACATTATTTTTTTTATCTATATTCTCTAGTAATCGACTATTTTGATGTAACTATGCGAAAGGGCATTCTTGACTTCATCATGAATAGATATCGTTTTGGTAGAAGAAAAGAAAAAGAAAACGATATAAAGATGCTTGCGCTATCAAGGCATGACAGAATATAAGGTACGTAGAGAATCAGAAATAAACTTTTTGAAAATTATACTTCGTCGCCTTTTTACTCAGGGCCGCTACTTAAACATGGTTCAGTCGTTTAACAAAACCGCCTCCTAAACAATCCGCAATTTAGCTGCACCTTTCATCCCAACATTCATTTCAGCGAGCAGTGTCAAGAGGGCGAGGGGTAACTGCAGAAGGACATTTATTGAATTAAATCAACCCTCTTGTAGAGAAAGACTAAGGCCCACTGAATGTGTAAAACCGTGGTTTGGGTTTGACATCGTGTAAATAACCGGCTCTTAGTTTTTACCCTCGAGGCTGTTACTGATCAAGTTTCAATACATTTTAATTCTTAACTCTTTAACCCCCAGATCAAGGTGTAATTCTCCTTACTGTTAACCATACAATTCTTACAATGTTAGTTCAGAGAATTTAGTATTGGATCAACTTATCCCCAAATTGATATTCTACTTTATTCTCGTCACTTATTTGGTTGATATTGTTTTGATATTGTGAGGAGAAATTCTGTCTTGGTCACTCATGAGAAGTAATGGGTTAACCCTTAACACCCTGACACTAGTATGCAAATTCTTAAAACTGTTCTTTGTACATTTTCTAAGCTGCTGGCAAGGAAAGTGTCTCTCTCAATCAAGAACTTCTTTAGATAGTGATAGTTTCCATTTTCTCGTCACCGTAATGTATGGTTAAGGGTTGATACTGTAAGGTGAAATTCGATGCTTCTCACCCTTACACTCGAGGGTTAACAGGAATGTGAGTGTCAGTCCGTAAAAAAGTGTAAGCGGACTTTTTTTTCGACCACCATTAAATTAATTCTTAATATTCAGTGTGAAAGTGTTGGATGGAACGGTACTGATTTGTATTCCAAAGGTTAATCAGTTTCATCATATTTTTTATTTGCCTTATTTACATAATATAAAAAAATTTATTTACAGCGGTTATAGCTAGAAGGTGAGGAGACCCAGGAAGCCACCGGGCTTATGGGAGAGCCACCTCACTTACATTAATAAATAAAGTAAAGAAAAAGTGCTGCGAATGTGCGGCTAGGCCAATTCAAGGATTATTTAAGTTAAAACTCTTGCATTTTCGTCTTAAAACTAAGAAGGTTTGACGAACGAGTGACTGAAACAGGAAGAGAATTCCAAATTTTAGGACCTTGGTAAAGAATTGTAAAATTGCTTGAGATTTGTACGGCACAAATGCGTTCGATAATTACTGGCTGTTCTGGTACCATAGTTGTGAATTTGGCTATTCGTAACAAAAAGATTGAGAAGCAATGGAGGAAATAAGTTATTTCTATAATAAAACATGAATTTGGCGATTTCAAACGTATTGACTTGGAAAATATCTAAAATTCCTAGTTTGGAGAATAAAGGAGCGGAATGGGCTCGATAGTCTGAGTTGGTGATAGTATAGTCCGCACAGCTCGCTTTTGCAAGTAATAAATTCTATTTAAGTTAGATACGTATGTGGACGACCAGGCACAGTTACAATAGACGATATAAGGATAAATTAAGGTGTAGTACAAAGTGAGCTTGGTTGTAGAGGATAGGAAAAAGCGAGACCTGAATATAATACCGATTGAATATAATGTAATATGAATATAATACCTATTGATACCAGTAGAAAAAATATGTACATTTTAAAAAGGGTGAAAAAAGTGAAAGATCTTAAATACATTTTTACTAAGCGTAGGGACAGAGAAAAGTCCTCTGCCAGCAGTTGAACGTTAAATCATGAACATTCGAGTGCTTTCCTAACCGAGCCATACTTTATGAATGAATGAATGGTAACTTTCTAAAGAAACTGTGGTGCTCCATACGTAGGTGAATGAAATACAAGAGAATTTGGTTTCATCAACTGAGTTGACAAAGTAAATTGGCCAGCTTGAAGAGTTTGTAAACCTGACGTTTCGAGCGTTAGCCCTTCGTCAGAGCTGACACTCGAAACATCAGCTTTAGAAACTCTCTAAGATGGCCCATTTACATTGTCAACTCAGTTGATAAAACCACATCATACTATACAACGCACTGGCTAGCGAGCCTGACTTTTTAGACGGTTGTGTTTCCTGATCACGGCTGATATAACTAACAAATTGATAATTGGCTGCACCCAAATATAAATAAAGTTCTCAGCAACGTTTTGTCACCTTACTTAAATTAGCATAGGACGACTTTCTCTTTCATACAGTTGTGTCAATCACAGCGTTTTGGCGATGAAGAGAGAATTTCGAAACTGTCTGCCTCGGTTTGTCTTGGCATTCACATGAAGTGTTCATTTTTCCTGAATTTCTCTCTTTCATACAGTTGTTTCAGTCACAGCGTTTTGGCGATGAAGAGAGACTTTCGAAACTGCCTGTCTCGGTTTGTGTTGGCATTCACATGTAGTCAGTATTTTTCCTGAATTTTGATCATTAGAGAAACTCGGACGATTATCCGTGGCATCGATTCCACACATGAGAAACTGTGGCGCTTTTTCTGCGACACCCTCTGGGGTGTGAAAAGCAGGACTCTCTGGAATAATAAAGAACAATCCGTACCTGTAATACACATCATGAGATACTTCTTTTATACGCTCATCAAAATCTTTGTTCTCAACCTTCTCGAATGACTTTTCTACGCTTCGTTCAGCGCTTTCTTTGGCGATCTCTTTTGCCTTAATATGGAACCGTACTAGCGCTTCTTTCGCCTCAATGTGGCGGTAATACTCCAAGCTTGGTATTTCAAGCTGCTTTGCTTTTTTAAGACACCGACGAATACAAATTGAGGTGAACAAAGTAGACACTACTATTAGCAGCAAAGACCAGCCTGCTATCTGACTGTGGGTCTTGTAACGTTCTTCAAGTTGCTCCGAGCGGGTACCGGCTTCAAAGTAACGGAGACATCGGTCAGTCGTATTTGACTTCGTGGCATCTTTATCAACTAAAGGTGGTCCGAAATAGGCGCACGTGTAGTATTGTTGCCGTAAAAACGACAGTACTAGCCAGGCAGCTGGGGCGATGCATGCTCTTATGAAGACATATGGTGTAAGGAACAAAGCCTTAAGGTAGCGGAAAGTCGGATATTTCGTCCGACGTCTGTTACAGATTGTGGCGAACTTCCACAGATCTCTATCGACCAAGATTCCGGCAAGAAACAAAAGCATTGCCGGAACCCAAAGAAATGCCAATCCATATGCAAAATGTCCCTCACACGGACAGTGAAATACCACACTTCCCACTAACTCCTCTAAGCCAACCGTCGTTCCAGCCATAAAGCCGTACAACAACGAGCGTTTTGAGTTTCTGAATAGAATTGCTGCACTGCTCAGTAGAGTATTCATTTCAAGCCGTCGGGACAGCAGCTCGAGTATTTTGACTATTGTCCGACTTCAATTGCAGTTTTATATTTCGAGGATATTTTTGGAAACGGAAGCTGTTTTACCAAATAAATTTCCCTTCTTTTCACATTTAAGAACGAAAGTTATTTTAACCAATAAAATGTTTACTCTTTCAGCAATAAACAGGAAGTGTTCGAAAGTTAGTTTCGAGCCGGTTTCTGAAAGGATGGAGCCGATTTTCGGTTTGATGCAGTTCAAAAGAAAGTTAATCGATAGAATGCGCTGCAAGAATCAACTGATGCTTAATGTGTTGTTTCATGAATCATTATGACTGTTGATTCTAGAAAAGCGAATTGATTTAATTCCACGAGTGGCGGTCGTTCCGCCTACGAGCCGTTTTGCTAACGACCGGTTCACTAACGTCCTTGTTCGTTTCCTCAGCATCTCAGGTCAATTCCTCGACGTCTCATTAGTCTACGTTTCGCTAACGTTTTAGTTTATTTCACAATCGTCTCCTTTTCGTTTTGTTTTCTTCGATGTAACGACAAAGGAAATTTTCCCCTGTAAATGTACATGTAAGATCGGCCGAAAATGGCAACGACCCAAATCTCCCACGATTTTTCGGTCGATTAGAAGTCAATCAAATTCTGCTTGCCATATCTGGATCATGGACTCCATTATCAAAAATTTAAATCAAATTAATTGTAATCCAGAGGAAAATTAAGAGGCATGTAGATCCGTTTGTGCGACACACTTTTTAACCACTTAATCAGAAAGAAAGGAAACATCCAAAGATGAAAGTACACATTCAGCACATACAGTTTCAATCTTTCTATTCATTCATGTAACACTAATGCCACTCCATAAATAATATTACCGCTCTTCAGTAAACATTAAAACTTCATTTACCGATACTAACAAGCTCCTAGCCATTTATCAGTCATTACTGATTCTTCTACATCGTTTTTCCGACCAAGTAAAATTACGTTATTAACTTTAACGAAAATGCCGGCTTTCGAGTCAGCTTACGAACCTGGATGCCCACCATGATAGGAGTTATCTCCGGTTTTCAAAGCTGACAGCCCTGCCCATGTCTTCTGAAAGCTGGCTTGATGGGGCACCCTCTATATTTGGTGCCTCATCCGGCCTTGAGAGAAGGGACTGAACCAACTTCCCTCTCGAGGGCAGAATAAGCGTGTTTACATCCAGTGTGGATAGACTAGCGGATAAACTTATACAAGTATCATTCGCAAAAAGGTGAATCACTGTGCTTTTTTTGACAATTGCACATCGTCTGAGTACTTTTTCTGATTATGACCGAATAATGGTGCTTATAATCTCGAGATAAGATTTTTTCTGACCCCTTAAAGATGATAAAGGTTGGTTGATCATCATTAGCATGAAGAAGCTTACAAAAAGATCAAATTTAGGTTCTGTCTTTTGGCTGCTATTTTGAGTCATAAAAGGGCAAATTATGAGTTTAGCAAGAAAAAATATTAGACGTTTCTTTCATGGTCTAGAGCAACTTCTTTAAAGCAAGAGGAATCATTGGTTATCAGCTTTCATGGTCTCAGTTGCCATAGTTATTGTAATTATACTCTTATTCAAAAAGACTAAAGTGGACGTCTGTTTACTAGTTATGATGAGCTAAATTTGATTCGATCAATTATTTTAGCGCGTTCCAAATTTTTTCCCCCAGATTTCTTCCCTGTCTTTACTTTATTATGGCATGGAAAAGTTAGTGACGTTTTTTCCACGCTGTTCAAACGAAAGCCTTAAAGTTGTGCTGAAACCTGACCTACATCGCAAGTCTAGGAATTCGCAACATTTTGGAGCTTAATTATCAGCTTTGGCTAGTTTTAATATATCGTTCTCAAACTTGACAAGTTGACTGATTTCCAGGCGCTCTTTAGCAATAACGGAGAATCGTTGCCGCCTGGTCTTTGCCAAAAGTTCTTCTTCGCTTATATGTTTGCAATTTTTATTGGTCTTTTCTTTAAATTTCAGCGTGTTATAAAAGAAAGAATCGGTAAATATTGGCATTTTGTTACTTGACACATCGTTAATCAGATTTTACTTCGAGATGAAGTGGAGCGTTCTGAAAGCCGACTGTAATTTTTATCATGGAGCGGAAGAAAACCCAACTCGGCGAGTTTCTATCAGGGACAATCAAAATCCAATTGAGCAGGAGTTTTTGCCAACATATCAGTAATTTTTTCGTTATCAGCGAAATGAGGTTACTTTAGACCTTAAAAAGCCACTCTTGACATAAAAAAAATAAAAAAAAACATTTAGCTCATTCTCAAGCTGGGAAATTAATTTGTAGTTTAGAAAAAAAGTTAATTTAAAATCAATAATAGCAACACATGGCGAAATAAATTTTTTTTTGGAGAAAAGTCAATCAATAGCTTAATGTATTATAATCATTTGAAACGCAAGCTACTCATTTTTTTTTTGTGGTAAACTTTGGAAGAGGACTCCAATTAAAATCATCGGCATATTTCATTTTCATAGATTCGCAAAAGTTAGACCAAGTTAGGCTACCAGCATCCGTGAATTGGAGAGAAACACTCCGTAAATAATGATTTGATTTAATACAAAAGACAGAAGACACCTGGGATGAAAAAATAAGAAACCGGAAAAAAACTATGGCAGCTGCCATGTTTTGTTTGGAATATCGCCGATCAATAGTCATCAGTATCACACGGTAGTGAGTGATTAAAATAGTAAAATTGTCTGATACCCGAGAAATAGAATTCCTTTCAAGCTTTTTCTATTATGTAGATCTTAGAAATCTCTCCTCGGATTCTTGCAGCTCAGCAGCTGATATTTTCTAAATTCCTCTTCTTCTATTTTCTTTTGGAGGGAACTCTTTAACGATTTTAAGTACTTCTTTCCTCCTTGTGCAAGCACTTTGTTCTTCGTCAATGGATTTGACCTGTGAAGCGTTTTCCAGTTAAACATTTGTGTCTAGTAATAAAATGATGTTTACTTTTTCAGCTTTTTAGGCTAATCAATATGCTACTTTCTGCGGCTCACCAACACAGTTCAGTGAATGCTGCAGCCCATCGGAGAAACGGGGAATTCCGTGATGTTCGTCGATCGAGTCTTGAGCTCCACACAACTTCACCCGGAGCCAGGCTACGACGCAACTATCCCGTGCGTCTGTGAGCTATTTCCTAGGGGGTCCTCCTGTCTTGAAAAACATCAGCTTTAGTGCCACTCCCGGTGAGAAAATAGATGTTGGACGGACTGGTACTAGAAAGTCGTCAGTTACCGCCTGTTTGTTGCGCATGCCAGCAAACACCGACACCATCATTATCGATGGAATTTGTATGACTGATCTCAAAGTCTAGGATGTTTGCACTATGATGGCAGTCATTAGTCAGAGTTCTTTCCTATTTAATGAAGTGCTTCGTCGAAGTCTTGATCCAGCTGACAAATTTATTGTTGAAGAATTGCGGAATATTTTGGACAAAGTTAAGCTGAAGTCGACTGTGGTAATAGAGATGGTCAACTTTACTGTCACGTGACAGAAAATGGTGCTAATTTCAGTGTCGGAGAGCGGCAGTTGATCCGCTTCGCTCGCGCTCTTTTGTTTGGATGAAGCAACATCCAGTGTGGATACACAAAGGGATGAACTTATACAAAGCATAATTCGTAAAGAGATGAATCATTGTACTGTTTTGACGTCTGAGTACTGCTTGGCGAAGGGAAAATTGTCGGAATGGATTCTCCCAAGACTTTACTTAAAAATAAGCTCACTTTTTTCTACCAGCTATATCACAATGTGAACTTTGAATTATGATTATGCCAGATAGTCCTGTGAAAGATTGGCCTAAGACATTAGACCAATCTTTTACATGACTATCTGGCATATCTGCTCATTAGGCCCTATGGTGTCGATTCAGATTTTCGCTCATACCAAAGGTTAGAAAGCGTACAAATATGCGGTTATCAGAAGTTTACTCTTAAATCGACTGTTTTACTCCACCTCGCTGAAAATTTGTATTGCTGAATTTCAACATATCTTTTTGCGGTAGAAATGAGGATCGGTGAAAGATAGATGGACATGATTCGACTGAAAACAAATGAATGCAGATATCTCACTACGAATTACAAAAAAAACAACAAAATCAATCGACAAAAAATATTCTGAATGAAAAAGAAACTGACGAACTTACAATTTGTGGCGTAGGCAGGTCTTGCAGTAAAAGTTTTAAATAAAAGTAACACGGCGCTAACAGAAACTAACAAAACAAAACGACTGACTCAGTTGAAACCAAACAACGATATATTGATGATATATTGATGTGAGTGGTCAAAGAAGTAATCAGTTTAATAAACCACTCCAGTCGTAACAAACTTGTTGAAAATTGGCGAATATTTACAGACAAAAATTCACACCTAAAGATTCGAGTTGTTACTCACTAAAAAAAGACGGGTCTATAACTGGTCTAGCCGGTCAATTCTGTGTCAAGGTAGGCTTCTTATTAAATAAAACGTGTGCTGCATTTTACCATGTTCTTACATAGGAAGTGCAAATTACACACTCTAGCACTCTTAAAATGAAATGGTTGTTTTCATGACAAGTCCAGCGAGTCAGTGAGTTTGAGATACCTGTGCTGTTTTCAAATCGATAGAACTGTCTTTAGTCCACTATTTACGCAGTTCTTATCTCCTATACAGTTACATAGAATAACTTGATTTTTCAGAGGTACTAAACGTTTTACAATAATTTTGTTCCTGTCGATTTACGAGTTTTACAGAAATAGTCTCAAAAGTAAAAATCGAATGGCAAAGACAAATCCTTCCAAAAATTAAAAAGTCAAATTTCTTTTTCAGTTGACTATCTTTCTTATTCTAATAAAAGTGAGTGTTTCTCCAGTTGCACATGAACCGAAAATTTTTCCATTATAAGCTGAGGCATAATTATGCCGGTAGTCATAGCTTGTCAAACGTAAGAGCCAACGGAGCTACGCCCTGTCAAAACGACATCCCCTTTGGCAATAACTCTGTTTTCCCAATCGTAAAGTGTCGGCCATAGGTAACAATAAATCCGTTTACCTCCTTGGGTGCTGGCCCACCGTTGAGACGCATTTGGTTTAGCTAACGACGGAAAAGCTTGGCTTTCACTATGAGATAGTGGGTTAAAGGTCCAAGAATTGTAATCGATTTTGAGCGGAGGGACTTGGGTAACAGCCCGCCACGAAAATCGTGTGCAGTACTCAATGTACCCTTTTAGTTCCTTTTTGAGGCTTTTATCAAAGCTTGGAAGGATTTCCTCTTTCTTTTTATTTTCCTTCCATTTTACCTTCAGTTCTCTCTTTACGGCCTGTGCGGATTGAAATAATACGTATTACATGTGTCATTGTTAAGTTGCATTATTCAATAAATACAAATAAAGAAGCAAACGGTTTGGTAAACTCCATGAATGGAAGGATACGACCGAAATGTATAACATGCTGTATCTATAAGCAATATAGTCTAATACTTCGAACCCAGCTTGAAAAATTAACCACAAAAAGCAAAGATCAAAAACACACGCAAAAAAGTAAAAACAAAGACAACAACATTTCAAACGTAGATTGTCAATGAAAGTTATCTCGCCTTCACAAGCTTTTCCAAATTAAGGTTCTCCCTTCCAGCTGCCTCTTTAACGAAGACCATGACTTCATTGGTGTAATCTTGTGGAACATCTTTCGGTCTTTTCGCAGGTAGGACATCGGGAAGCTTAGGAATAGAAAGAGATATACTTAATCTCATGACAGTAAAAGTATACGACTCAGTTTCACAGTTGTTGGTTTGAATTTTCAACTGAACTGTGTGTACAATTGGGCATCTATAATTTTTTTTTCAATTACTTTCTAAATTTCTGAAGACCTTCCTTCGAATTATCGGCCTGGTCATCTTAACAAACTCCATGCCACGGGCGTCTTCTGCGCCTTTTTTATTTTGAAATAAATAACAACAACACAAACAAAAAAACAAACAAAAACCAAACCAACGAAGCCAAAACAAAAGTAAACGTATTCGCACGCCCTTTCATTACTGTAGTATGAAACTGATAATTATGGATTGTAAAAGTACGTATAAAATATTTATCTTCCTTTCATAGAAAATAACTCAAATAAGGAAGAGCTAGTTAAAATGATAAATAAACATTACAGCACTAAAGATCACAAACCTTATATTTACCATCCCCTAGACCAACACAAGGTGCATCAGTAACTAAAGTGTCCAAAAGCGATGAGTAATAGGATAAAAAGCCAATTCTCGCCTTCTCTGCACATTCGTAAGATAACTGAAAGAAAGAAACTTGTACATGAATTGTATGGAGACAGAGAAAGAGATCTTGTAGATCTGGAAAATTTCAGTTTGTAGGTGCCTTATAAAAGTGCGGATGTATTGCATATAAATAAAAAAATAATAGAGACCAATAATATATGAATAAATAAGAATAATAAGTAAGAAATGGAAAAAATATAAAGGAATAAATGAAAAAAATATCTGTTTGACTGTTCATCCCTAAGACCCTCACTATAATGTACACAATATTACTATTCGTACGTTGACCCGCGCACAAGATAACAGATAACGAATTTATCTTCACGGGCTATGCGCAATATAAATTTTCTGCCATGGCATCTGATCTCGCACGGTATGAATAAAATAAATTATATTTCAACTCCACGACATTTTACAGAACAAACAAATCACCTCAAATATATAACATGCAAGCCTGTACGCCTTTAATTGATCTTCTTCGGACAGCTGTTGAGATCGGCTTTTCTTCATTTTTTTTTCAATCAAATCCACTGCGTCAACGCGTCTTCCATCCCTAAAGTCGTTCCTGTATTCTGCCTCAAGCTCAGACTGCCTGTTTGAGCTCAACGTGTTTTCAGTTCTTCTTTGGTCCATGTTGACTTTTCTCTCTGCCACAGTAGCAAGCCTTATTGAAAATAAGAGTTGCCGGTTAAATTGAGTCAATCGATTGTCGTACCTTCGATTATATATCAGCTAGTAACATTTCCTTGAAAAAAAATTCAAAAGAAGTATCTGTATCAAACATAGCAAGAGGGAGATAAATCACAAATATAATGCGATGTGCAACAGAAGAAGTAGGGAGAGAGTACGAAGTAGCATTTTGGTATTAAGGTAATGGCGGCATTCAATCAGTTTCTTTCAAGAAAAGCTACTCTAGGAATGATATTCAAGGAAACCCACAAACAAAGAGACGAGGACATGTTCACTCCCTGATTAAAAATAAATTGTCCTTTAATTCAATTTGAACTAGCTTTCGTTTTAGTGGATAATTGTGCTTGTTTGGGAAGATATTCATGAACAGGTAGAAACAAGTTTGGTTTAAGGGTGTGGGTAAGGATTAAAGCAGGTGTTACTCTCCACAATTGTGTTACCTTTGTCTCAGTCTTTGAACTTCCGCTGATAATTCCCTATTTTCATTACTATGACTTTGATGGAGGCTATCGATAATGAAGAGAAGTCAAAATCATTCGTAAATGATAATCTACCTCATTTAGGTGTTGCTTAATATGCTAACAGCTTTCAAGAATTTCCGTCAGTGTCGACCATTAATTATATTCAGTTTGTCACGCCTGAGGAACAGAAGAGTCCTGTCAATGCGAGCGTGACGGAAAGATTATAACCATTCCTCCTTTCCTAACCGCTAAATGATCACAACAGTTAAGAACTACCAGAATACTTTATACCTGTGACGGATTAATTGATTAATTTATGTATTTATTCATTTATTTCCTTGCGGAGTAGGCATTAGACAGGGCAGATATTTCTGTGACGATAATAACGACTGTAACATTTCATTCTGCATACACAAATGCGTCTACATTGTGAGCAATGAGATCATTAATTTATGTATTTATTCATTTATTTCCTTGCAGAGTAGGCATTAGACAGGGCAGATATTTCTGTGACGATAATAACGACTGTAACATTTCATTGTGCATACACAAATGCGTCTACATTGTGAGCAATGAGATCATTACATAAGCAAACAATTTCAGCCGGTTTTATTTAAAGAATTTTATAATATCTTGCAATCTACATGGCCTCAAATGAACAGAACTTCTCAAATTGTTTACCTTTGCAGTTGTTGCCTGAGATCTTTATTTTCATGCTCTAACCTCTCGAGTCGCAAAGGGAGTTGTCGTGATGCTTCAATTAGTTTTTCTGTGGACCATTCCTCATCATTTGAAGGTGATGCCGATGGATGCGTTTTGGATTCATATCCACTTGGTTGAACGGAGTTAGGTAACGTTTTTCTACGCTTAAAGGTCGCCATTACTGAATCAAGTAGCAATCGCCCCAACGTGTATCGACTGTATCTCCCGGATGTCTGTTTTCTTAGAAAGAAGCCGGAAGTGGCTAATTTACTTTAACAAAACTCAAATATTTCATGCGCCAGTGAGGGATAAGTTCACCTCGCTAAGTTAAGTCTCCGTCTTGCACAACCAACGCGTAGATACGGTAGTTAAAAACGGATCTGGAATTGAATCTTTTTTAAAATCGATTTGTTACATTAACACTCCGTAATGTAGCTTTACTTTGGCGTGAATATGCACAATCGGGGGCAAGGAAAAACACGCAGACAAACACACGCAGACCGCTATTTTCTGCCTCAATCTTAGTTTTTGTATCATCAAAAAGACATGAAATATCCGCAATTTTAGACCTATTCGGCGAGTAGGTCTAAAATTGTCGATAAGAATTGATGTTTCTTTTCACGAAGCCCTTGTAGGGTCACGCAATTCCAGTGCGAAAGTGCCTTACTAAAGCTTGAATAGTAGTAAAATGCAAATGATCGAATTCTGATCAAGTCTACAAAGTCAAAGAGAATCAACTCTGTCAGAATATTATCGTGACTTGTTAAAAAAGGAACCCTTTTTGAGTGAGTAACAGTATACTTGGTGTATAACTTCCAATTTTTATTCTTGGAACTAACGTAACCTGCGTTATTTATAACTCACACGAAACATAAACAATTCTAGGAAATTTCCCTCCGTCACCCTAATCTCTTGACCACTGAAGACATTTGCATTTAACAGTTGCTGCACGTTTTCATCCTCTCGTTGCTCAGCTTATTCTGTTAGGAGATATGGCATCGGCATCAGGCAACGGTAAGAGTAGATTTGTACTATACTCAATTGTAAACACGAACAACGGGCAGCAAGTTGAGAATCGGCGAAGCGACGTCTCCAGATACACAGAGCCGAGTTCATTTTGAACCGACCGTTTTATAATGAAATGAAAGAACAAGCGATATCGATTTATATCTCACTCTGAAACTGATTTTTCTGAGGACAGGTAACAGGGGAAACAGTAATTCCCGGTTTTCCGATTTCTTTGTATCGAACGTTTAACATTCGCGTAACGCTATTTTACATTCCGTGCGGCTGGTAATAAGTCAATTATTCATTTTTGATCTGTATGATCACCCTACACTTAAATGATTGAGATTCTCAACTTAATCAAAAAAAGAAAAGATGTTCCAGTATTCCAATCAATCCAATTCACTTACGGGTGATTAGACCTCAGGAAATACAACAAGTAAACTCTTACGTGATCTAAGAGGGTGTACGATTTTGTTAGTTTCATGTATGCAAGCCTTCAAACAACCTTTCGATTTAAGAAGCTCGTGCACTAACTTTAAGATCGATTCGCTTACTACACTTTACAGCAACTCAGCTTTAAATTTGTCATATAAATGTTCCAGGAACAGCGAATGTCTCCTGACCGAGGGAAATTTTAATGAAGTGTGTCGCGTCACGGTAACTCCCCCAAATGTGCCGGTTTCTGAAACGTGCGGTTTCCTTTTCAAATCTAGGTACTCGTCATGAGAATTCTTACCTTGCAACTGTAGGGATAGACTTTGGTACAACCTACAGTGGGTTTGCCTTCTCATTCAACAAAGGCGAAGGTGGAGAAGCGATTTTTATGAACAGAGACTGGGTCAATGAACAGGGCCATCGAACCAGCAAGACACCAACATGTCTGCTTCTTAAACCAGACTTGTCATTTGACTCGTTTGGTTACTCAGCGATGGAGAGATACTCCGGTTTAAAAAGTGCATACGAAGAAAAAGAATACTTCTTTTTCCAACATTTTAAGATGGAGCTGCACAACGAAGAGGTAAGTAAAGGCCAGCTCCTTTACGCGTTTTAATATAACAGGGTCTTACAAATGCTATCCAAGTGTCGCATATCTTGCATTTTTCCCTTTGTTTATTTAGTTTGTGGTTTGAGTAAGTATCATTTGATCGCGTAGTATCACGTATCATGTGTATCATGCGTATCATGTATATCTTCACATTGAAACATTTTTGAGAAAGATCGTAGATACAATATATATTTATATGTATAAATTCCCCGATGAGTAAGCATTCACGGAACAGGCTTATAGGAATGAAAGTGTAGTCTCTCTGTTCTTTTCCCCTATCGCAACATATATATATATATATATATATGTGTGTGTGTGTGTGTGTGTGTGTATATATATATATATATATATATATATATATATATATATATATATATATATATTTATATTTATAATTGCAGACAGTACTGTTTCGGCCTTCTGGGCCTCATCAGTGCAGTGCTGATGCTAGAAAGGAGGTGTAAGCATTAAGATACCCCGAATGATTCCACAATTGTGGTATCATCCAAATATATATAAAAATACTATATCTATAAAATAATATATATATATAATTTATATATATATTTTTTTTTTTCCGTAGTACAGTGCTCGATACATACAAGTAGAGTGCGATATGTATTGAGATCGGCAAAAACAAAGAGACTACACTTTCATCCTTACAAGCCTGTTTCGTAATTAACTCACTCTTCAGGGGATTTCAGTGGCAAGAATATTCGTGAACATCGTTAATATACTATAAAATTTGCATAAGTTGATGTGGCGGTAAATTTAGATGTTTAGTTCAGCTGTTACGCAGAAACGCTTTGTTTCTGTGACGACATGACGACACAAGTTCGTTACGTTTGTTGCTTGCGCTATTGTAGGGTCAGCTTGATGAAAGGATACGCCATGAAATAAAGTGGCCAATGTTATTGTCTTTAAGAGTCCAGATGTGTTTGCTGAGTTCGGTAGAGTTTCTGCGTTTTGCGTGTCGGAATGATGCAGTGTGGTGTCTGTATATTGAAGTCGTTTTCTGTAGGTCCGATGTACGCTTCATTAGTGCTATTGTCCTTAAGTATGACGGTGGCCTAGTAGATAACTGATGATTGGAGGCAGTTAACCTCCAGTTCTTTTAATGCTCATTGGGTGTTCATCTGCAGAGCTGATTGAGGTGATAAAAATGAACTTGCTGCTTGTTAAGTGACTGAGATACAGCAATTTTGATTTAGATGATACAGAAATACCTCTTCCTTTTGAGTCACTATTAAATTATATTCAATTTCTTTTACGACAAACAGAACATTGACCTGCAAGCTACCATCCCTGATGCCAGATATAAACGCGTGAAGGCAAAGACAGTGTTTGCTTACGCCATACGGTTTCTGCGAGATGAGGCGATTAATTTCATTCGCCAGGAAACTAAAGATCAGAGTTTCAAGGTTGAGGATGTTTTGTGGGTTCTGACTGTACCAGCCATATGGAGTCCAAAAGCAAAACAGTTCATGAGAGAAGCAGCCTATGAGGTAACATTTTGACTCATGGGAATGGTTTTAACTACATCAGTGCCGTTAATGCTGCTGTGGAAGTTTGTAAATATGTATAACTGATCTACTAACTAGGACTGACTTCTGTTTGCTCGTTTCGTTTTGCTTTCTTTTTTGTTTTTGTTTTTTTTTTTTATCGTTTTCTTTTTCTTACTTGATTTGATTGATTGTTGGAATGATTACAAAAGAAGAGAAATTTAAAAACCAAAACAAGAGGAGACAAAACTAAACGAAACGAAATGCCTTATCATTTCCCTCACGTTAAGTTGCCATCTTCCATTTCTAAATTTGAAGGCATTATGTTTTCTCAGGCTGGTCTCGTCTGTCGTGATCATCCGGAGCAGTTAGTTATTGCTTTAGAACCTGAAGCGGCGGCGATATTCTGCACTGAGAGAAAAATGGACGCGATACTATCAGAGAAACTTGATGTATCGATGGATGGACTATTGTCCCAACTGAATGCACAGTATATGGTTGTTGACATCGGAGGTAATGTTACCGAGAATCATGAGCTAAATATTCTACTAAAAAGTTGATGAAATCATTAAATCTGGTTAAATCATTTTTGTTGTTCTTTATGCTGCAACATTGAATTTTCTTCAGGATCTTAAACTAAACATTTCCTTAGCTCCTGCTTTGCCCATTTTCTTAGCTAAAACCTGTTTTAAATTAAACTAAGAACACTAATAGACTAAAGAAAGAGAAAACGATAAACAAACAAAGAACAACAGGAACAATGTCAGAAACAATAGTTGACGCAGTAATCACAGAAACTGCAATGGCGATAAAACGTTAATAAATTTTTTAAATAATGGAGTGAACATATTCATTCATTTCTTAGCATTGTCAATCATTATACAGTCACTTTTTCCTCGACTGTATTTTATCATATGATTCGCGATTGATATCTTTTTATTTTCTCTTTTTTTGTAACAACTGCGCTCCCAGGAGGTACTCTCGACGTCACCGTTCATGAAAAGCAAGATGACGGTACAATTAAGGAAATCCATAAAGTGACAGGTGGGCCCTATGGCGGAAACAAGGTGAATCACCAGTTCGAAGGTCTTCTGGATGAGCTATTTGGTGCCGAAAAACTGTTTGAGTACCGTAAACTATTTCCTATCGACTGGCTTCACTTGAAAAACGATTTCGAAGAAAAAAAACGCGGACTGCGTTCCCAACAAAAGAAAGAGACCCGAATTCGTCTGCCGTATAGTTTTGTTTCGACCGTTAATGAATTTCTGCCTCATTCTCTAGCCCGTTATGACGAGGGTGAAATTCAATTGCAGAGGAACGAATACCTCTGCCTCGGCCCGAGTGTGATGACGAAACAGTTTGAACCTGTTTTGGAAGCGATGAAAGATCATTTGGATGTCTTGCTGAGCCAACCTAAGCTTTCAAAAGTGAGGGTAATGCTACTTGTTGGAGGATTTGCAGAATCTCCCATTCTTCAGCAGAAAATAGTGGAAAAGTTTAACAGCAGATGCCGTGTAATTGTACCACGTGACGCGGCCAAAGCAGTGGTTCAGGGTGCCGTGATGTTTGGTCAGCTTCCCGATAGAATTTCCCAAAGGGTTATGTCTACAACATACGGCTGTGCCTGCTGCCGAGATTTCATCCGAGGTGTACATCCAAACGAAAAGAAATTAATGGCAGATGGCGTAGAAAAATGCCGTGACTTATTCGCTTGTTTCGTTAAGGAAGATGAAGTGGTGACCCTTGGTCAAAGAATCCGGCAAGTCTTTCATCCAGTATATGCTAACCAAACAGAGGTACCCTTTGAATTTTACACCTCAAACAACGTCGACGCACAGTTTGTTACCGAACCAGGCTTGACTAAGATTGGAAACCTGGTTGTTCATTCTCCTGTTACCAGTAGTGGTCGTGACAGAGAAATCGAGGTCAGCTTATACTTCGGTGGTACCGAAATAACGGCTACAGCTTTAGATGTTTCAAGTGGGAAAGTAAAACAAACTACTCTTGACTTTTTCCCTAAGTCTGAAAAGATTGAAAAGTAACATGTCCTGTTATGGCTTATATCTTTGAAGGACTACTTGTTAAAAGTTAATCAGCGACACACATTCTGTCTGAGCGTATAATATTTAAAATTGAAGTAGCCACTGTAATTATTAACCAAATATAAATATGACAAAAGCAATACTCAAAAAAGCATGAAAAAAGAAAAAAAAATCAAATTACATGCATAAAAAGGAATCAGAACAATAAAAAAATGTAGGCATAACGACTGAAACAAACAACAAACAAAAAGCAAGGTGGTTAAAAGGCCTTTAGCTGGCCCCAAAACTGTAACATATATAGGAGTAGAAGTACTGTTTGTCTTATTATTGAAATTCCCACTTTTATAAACCTTCATTTAGACTTGAAATACACATAATTAACTTGTTTGGGCTTCAATAGTTCATGGTGTTTTTACAAATACTCATACCCAAACTAAATAATTGATATAAGGGCTTGGTCACAATATATGTGAGTTTTAAAGGATGAGAATCTGGAAAAGCAAGCATCCCTCTTTAACTAGAACTGAAATTGATGGGCACCCTCCCCTTTTAATTCATGTTTTTACTTTGACCTCCCTCCCCCCTCCTCCTCTTAACTGTTTAGGGAAACATGAATGAAGATTACCTTTTTCGTATTTTGATGCGTGAAGTTTTGATTAATTGGCGTCCACGTTACGCATAAGGCGAGAATATAAGTGCCTTAGCTTTATAGGTGAAATAATCAAAATAGGAGAGTTATGCAGAACATATCCTACCTTTATCCTCCTCTGGATATTTGCTTAAATAACATAGTCACTACCGATATCAGTCTCATTTACTCTCGTGTCCACTAAGCTTGTGGAAAGATGATAACCTCTGCATTTTTTAAATGAAGAAAGGAAAGCCTGCCGTCTCACAGCGGATAGTTCTTTTGTGCATGAGCAAATTGCTTATTTTCAAAGCTCTGTCTGAAGATTAAAATTTAATGGCAGACCCAGGACTGTTGTTCGCTACCATTTCTCATTCATTACTTTCTTGTAAATGAAGGCGATTTCTGGTAAAAATTTTAGTTTGGAAATAACTTCGCAATCATATACTGGATTTTCCGCGAATCTCTCCTCAATTAATGTTACTTCCTGTCTCCCATTTGAAATTAATGAAGATTGCACTTCCTTGACATATATCACATGACAATCAGTTAAACTTCCGGTAATTCCCAGAAGACGGGGTTTTAGGTTACTGTGCGGTGGGCAAACAAGATCGATACCACGCATTATGGAGCGACATCGGCCGTTCTACTGGTATAATAATGTATCGTCAGACACAGCCACCACACCGGAGTTAGTCCAACTTCACGAAGATTCAAGGTAAGTAAGTGAATGTCGGTGGTCTGTATGCGATCTCCATCTGAAGGTAGTGTATGAGAGTACGATTAGACATTTTGGTTTGCAATAAGGACCTCTGGAGCGAGAATTTCTTTTTTTCAGAAGTAGAGGTACCTATTTCAAGCTACCTCTTTTTGACACATGAATAAAGTTTTTCATTCATTCATTCATTGATAAATCCATTTATCACGTCCATTTTAAAGTTGATGTTGAGACACTGAAGTATTACTTTCAACGACAACAAAGCGAACAGAGTCCGAGGCCTCGATATCGTCCTTTGTGATGACATGCAATTCTGTGATGTCACGCACTTTTGTTGAATCGATAATGAGTAAATGAATAACTTATGCATGTTAAAAGAATAATGGAATATTAGAGTGTACAGTCAACTTAACGAGGGAGTGAATGAACAAAAAACATAATACATCATGGGAATGTAATACATCGGTGGGAATGTAATTGACATGTGCTGTGTGTTTTTGAAAACCATGCTAAGACTTGAGACAAAATTCCTATGGTTTCCTTCACAAGTTTTTTTATTGTTGTTGTAAAAGACATGTGACAATATTGCTAGGAAAGGGTAAAAGGATTCACACTCTTTCTATTGTATGGCAACTTAAACATGAACCTGAAATTTCCATGTAAGGACAGCATCAAAATTGCTACATTTTCACCATAATTTTCATACACTGATTTGCTGTTTGATACTGGTAATCATTGATAGGAATAGAGAGTATGGAAAAGAATAAATCTGAGGTAGAAATAGGAGACAGTGAGACTACTGCAATTTTCAATTTCTTTTGTACACTTTATTGTTTTTGAAGATTTCTTTTGGGGCTAACTTCAGATTGTCCTTTTTTTCCAACACATATGTGGAAGAATTGTATTAATTGTGATGTTAAGGGCCTATCAATCAACCAATTAATTGATTGATTAGAATGAAATTAACAGTTAGAGAACATATACATATTCCAACACTTGTTTTACATCCAGCGGGTAATAATATATGAGTATAAATCATTACTCGGTCGGAATAATAATTTATAATGTGACATTTCTCATCTTTCAACTTAAAGAGAACTGAATAATTCAAGAATTCAGGCAAAAGGGGATGTTAATAACAAACAGTTTTCTGTGGAATCCATCTTATATTATACTTTTGAGATCATAGGCATCTTCACTTCACAAACTCCCCTCCAATTTATCCAGTTTTAAGTAGAGATTTGCTATTAAAATTGTCTTAAAACATTCAAACTTCAATAGACACTATGAGGAAAACCAGTCTGAGAGTAAAGTGTGCAGGCAGAAGTTACCACAGTGGTTTGATTGAGGTTTTAGTCCTACTTTCACTTGTGAACTTGTTGGCCATGAAGAAAAAGACCCCCAGAGAAAACTCAAACTTGCAGCTGTATCTCAAAATATTTTGTCTAAATGCTTCATAATCACAAATTGACATTTTTTTAGCATCCAGACTGTTTACATACTTTTAGTGACAATCTGTTTCCAATGGTGTACTGGTACAAATGTGTTAAATCATATTCCCACCATTGAAAAGAGGGATGACTGAACCCCTGCTATGGGTTCAAATTAATTTATAAATTAAAAATTGTTGGCTGACATCTACAGAACTTGTAGATCTTGGCAAGCAATGGTCAATATTTAAATTTAAGCCTTGTGAGGTTATGGCACCTCAAGCTCAATTGGGCAAGGCCAAAAAATATCATGTAATTAATGATGTGGGAATATGGTACTTTTTGCAGATTTTCTCTTTTTTTTTCATCAAAGTGATGGAGTGAGCTTAGCTAGGCCAAATGCTTTCGCAAAAATGGCAGACCCTGTGAAAACCATGACAGACATTTTTTTACAAATGACACCAAACTCAACTAAAATCTTAAATAAGTGACGAATACACAGCAACCCCAAAGGATAGCTGCTGCCCAAAAAATGCATGCTCACAAAAGCTCTCTCCACCCTATGATACTCCCTTTATATTGCACATATTTGAGGTTTGCACCTTATGTATGTCACAGCATTTCATTGCTTTACCTTTTTCAGAACACAAAATTTAGAGAAAGAGATACAACAGTTAAAGGAGAGGTAGGTGTCTTCATGGTTGGTTCTCATTTGCTCTGAAAACCTTTTGGCCCATTTTTTTTTTTATTTGTTTGGTTAGCACTTAGCATTAACTAAAGCTGAAATTTACGCCTTGGCTTTCCATTTATTTAATTTATTTGTTCACCTGTGATTAGTGGCAAAAATCTAAATCTGCTTGCTCTTTCATTTTTTTATTTCTTTCTATCTATAACTCTCAAAATTTACCTTGCCCCTCATCCTCAATGTTGCCTATTGTTGAAAACAAAAGGTCACTAATTACCTAAATTGATAAAAGAAAGAGGGGACTCTCAAGTAAGTACCAAGTGACATAAATAGAGTAACAAGTAAGTTTCAAGGAACATGTTGGAGATGAACTACAAGAATTTTTTTTATTATGTTGACCATAGGGTTGCCAACTATTACTTAGGGGAGGGCATGCCAACTAATTTTGTCACTTATTGTTTGAGGTGTTCTTGAAACGTTAAGACATCAGTAAAACTCAGACAATATTTAAGTTCCCTTTCGGCCTAAATTTAGCTAATTGTATGTAGATTTTGTGCAATTGTATATTGTTGGATCAATATGGTGGAGTAATAACAGACATTCCCATTCTCATTATTATGAAGTGATAAATAGCAAAAAAGGGAATGATATAATTTTTCTAAAACTTTATCAAACTCTCACTGAACAAGTTACGTTTTCTGAGCATTTAGTACGTCTTTATTTCCGAGAGGCTCATAGTATTCTAACTGTGTTCTAGGTTCAAGCAGTGTATAGGTGTGTTATATGAGAAGAAAAAACCAGCTGATGAAAAACCCTTTGAACTTGTATTACAGCACTTTTTTTTGTTGTTTTCTTTTCTAGACAAGGCGTGTTGGAAAAACGTCTAGCTTTGAAAGAAGAAGATTGCCAAAGGTGAGCGAGACTTTGCAAATAAAGCAGATGCTGATAGTTCTCGGAGATTTCCCTGTCTCAGTCATTTAGCAGTTCTTTTTATCTTTCCTTGCTTGCTGAAAGATTATTCTTCCTTATCAACATTGCATTCATTCATCCCTCTTTTTTGTTCCTTTACGCATTGTTCTAATTCGTCTATCTCATTGCTGTCCGTTTTGCCCCAATTTTTTAAAGTAATTTTACCTACTTCAGAATTAAAGGAAGAATCAATTAGAACATTTTACAATACTGAGGTACTATTTATGGGGCGCACTTACGGTGATAATTAATGACAGAAATACAGATTTTCACTATTGTCCCCGATGCCATACATCTGTTACAGAACAAGCCATTTTTTCTCTTGAATCTTGTGGATCTATAAAATATTATTAGTATTAATACTCTAATCTCTATGACGAGTGATTTACATTTTAATTATTTGTTGTTTTTTTTATAGACTGAAATCTGAAAAGGAAAAGATGGAAAGTAAATTCAAAAAAGATAAAAAAACGATAACGAATGTGTTAAATGATAATCTCCAAAGGTAAGGCCTGGATTTACACTAAACGCAGTGTGCAAGTAAGGAAATTGTGCCACGATGACGATGACGGTGTTCTCTGAAGAAAATGCCTGAGGTCTAGGAAAACACGAATTAGCAAGGCACGACTGGATTAGCAAAACCAACTCGATCGGAATTAGTTTCAACACTCAATTAAAAATTGCTCCGGTGACTGTGATGGGTGATTGTTATTGCAATTTATGCTACTTCTTCTTGTTTACCAATCACTGTTGTTCTCAATGGACATAGATGAGCTTGTCAACTGTTGACTTGAAAGTTCTGCACCATGCCTTGTTATGATGACATTGCTTTAGTACTTTTGATTCCCAACGTGCTTTAGAGAAGAAAACAAAAATAAGATCAATAGTTACTTATAAGCTTTCGAGACGCTGCGGATTTTACATGACGGATGATGCCTATATGAGTTATTTATTGTACGGAAAATAACGTACCGAAGCCTATTTTTTATATTGATTATTTATAATAGTCACAATACAGAAAAGCAGCAGATGGAAAAAAGATTTACAAGAGAGCTTACGGCAAGAGAGAACACATGTATGCGTCTAGTTTACACATCTCCTCACCTTAATGTCATTTCTCCCTTAAGAAAGAAAGAAACTCTGTAGCTTTTCCCAGTAACTAACAAGGTACAGAGGCTTTTGAACTTCGAAGACTTTCAAGAGCCTGCTCAGACACACGCTCTACAGTTTCCTATACACGTAAATTTGCATCTGTGACAGGCAAACAGAAACATCAAATGTATATTAAAATCATACATGCATGACATTAAGGCTTCTAGCCACAGAACCACTTCTTTTAGTTAAATCAAAGTCGTTATGAGATTGTGTACTTTTTTCTGTGAGGTTGAAACAAGAAGAGGAGTCCACAAAGAAATGGAAAGACAAGGCTGAATATTGCTCGGAGAGGTAAAATTGATGTAGTGCTTGATTCTAAATTCATTTAAGTACCTCCAATCCTACTTACCTCACAGAAATGTACATAGTTGATTATACAAAGTTTTGATTATATTACAACTCGTTATTTCAGTAAGTTACTGCAAGAGAGTTTAATGAACTGTTATTATTACCTACCAACTGACCGACGGGATGACTGATTGTGTAATTGCTTGACTGACTAAAGGGCTAACTAACTTACAACGTAGCCGCACAGTAATGGTGAGTTTGTACCGAAGCATATCAGGTCTCATTGTACTACATTGGCAAATGGAGAAATATGAATTTCCAAATCTTGCATCCGTAAATTTTGCATCCTTAACAGGCAAACGGAAGCATCGAGTGTATATTAGAATCAAACATGCATGGCACTAAGGCTTCCGGCCACAGAACCAGCTTTTTTTTAGTTAAATCAAGGTCGTTATGAGATTGTGTACTTTTTTCTGTGAGGCTGAAACAAGAAGAGGAGTCCACAAAGAAATGGAAAGACAAGGCAGAATATTGCTCGGAGAGGTAAAATTGATGTAGTGCTTGGTTCTAAATTCATTTAAGTACCTCCAATCCTACTTACCTCACAGAAATGTACATAGTTGATTTTATAAAGTTTTGATTTTATTATAACTCGTTAATTCAGTAAGTTACTGCAAGAAAGTTTAATGAACTGTTATTATTACCTACCAACTGACCGACGGGATGACTGATTGCGTGATTGCTTGACTGACTTAAGGGCTGACTAACTTACTACGTAGCTGCACAGTAATGGTGAGTTTGTAGCGAAGCGTATCAGATCTCATTGTACTGCATTGGGTGACGGAGAAATATGAATTTTTAAATCTTCATATGTAATTTTGCATCTGTGACTGACAAACGGAAGCATCAAGTGTACAGCTATTTCAATTTACGTTGTCGGATCAAAGCTTCAAGGGAACGGGACAAGACCGAAAGGCGGTATGGGTAGATTAGAATTAATTTTAGGCTTTCGGGGTTGTCGGCGCGAGATGGACATGGACATCGGAGATCTTCGCTGTATGGACGAGGCATTGTTAATTTTGCTGATAAGTATTCATTAAGATCCCATATTCCCCTTCAGTCTTGTCTTGTAGGCTTGAGGCTTTGATCCGACAACGTAAATTGAAATAGCTGTGTATTATAATATAACATGCATGGCACTAAGGCTTCCGGCCACAGAACCAACCTTTTTTTTTCGCTAAATCAAGGTCGTTACGAGATTGTGTACTTTTTTCTGCGAGGTTGAAACAAGAAGAGGCGTCGAAAGAGGAATGGAAGGAAAAGACAGAATTCTACTTGGCGAGGTAAAATTGATGTAGTGTTTTATTCTAAATTCATTGAATTATCTCCACTCCTACTTAGTTACCACTTACCTGAAATGTACATAGTTGATTATACAAAGTTTGGATTATATTACAACACGTTATTTCAGGAAGTTACTGCAAGAGAGTTTAATGAACTGTTATTATTACCGCAACTGACGAAGGATGACTGATTGCGTGATTGTGACTGGCTGACTAACTTACTACTTAGCCGCACAGTAATGGTGAGTTTGTAGCAAAGCGTATCAGATCTCATTGTACTGCATTGGGTGACGGAGAAATATGAATTTTCAAATCAGCGACAAACGATTAGTTTTCGGCCACTCGCGCTATTCAAGTACCGTTCACTAGAAATTCGGTCCTGAAGTTTCTTCTTTAAAACAAGGATTGCGTCAAATTTAACAAAGAAAGCCAATGATACTCTTACGTTCATACCCCTCGTGAGAAACCCACAATGTTCAGGGCGCTACCTTATTCAAGATACTGTAGGTGCCTTTTTAGGTTTTTCTGAAATTGTTACATATTTCTTCTTAAATAAAGCACTGTGACCAAGCTGAACATGCTCAAAAGGCATCCTTTGCACTTAGCCTCAAAACTTTCTTGGTGCTTGACCAACATTTTCTTAATTAATTTTAAAAGAATACTTAAGGAAATATTATTTAAACGAATGAATGTTTATAAAGAGGAATATGAAACACTTTATCCTTCTCGTTATGGCTCAGTTTTGAGAAACGTTTTCTATTCAAAGGGCACGCTATTCTTGATAGTGTCAACACCATACAAGCAAACATGGAAAAACATTTCTTCTCGTCTGGAGTTTTTTATTTGTATAATGGGAGTTTTCGATACCGTTGATTACGAAACACTACCCAGGGGTGCATCCACCTTTTTTATTTGTTTTAGGCATTTTCACTGGTCTGAAAGCGTGCTAACCTAGTGCTTTAACGTTACAAGATTTGTTCTTGGTGCTTCTTTGTTATTTAAGATCTCGAAAGTATGTTTGTCGTAGCGAAAGTCCACTTCTTGTCTCAAACTTTACAAGAGTCATATAGTTATTATAGAAGTCAAGTTGAATGTAAGGAGATATTAATGTCCCAATATTTTCACTTGTGAACGTTTATCTAATTTACATAATTTATGGACTAACTTAACATATCACAAATCATAAAAAAGAGTTAAATTAACAGAAAGTGATAAACAATAGTATGTCCGAAGGAGATGGTAATAATCCTTAATTAGTGCCTAAGTAACATTTCTTATGTATGTATAATTACACGTACATGTATACATGTATATGGCGGTAAGTAATAATTCGTTCTTTGTACTTCTTGTCCCTGTTCTTTATCTCTGTCACTATTATATATTAGGAATGTCATAATCTATGACTGGCCCACCGAGATTTATTCGCCTATTTGCGGTCAGTCAGTTGTAACAACGTGCAATATGTAATATTTAAAACAAATAATAACATTTATGTATTGTAACGTATAACTCTTTTAGCTTTGAGCAAACTCGTGACAGCTTTAACATGTACCTCAAGAAGCAGGCTGCAGAAGAACAGGAATTAATTAACAGGTTAGTATCCTGAGTTGTTTATGTTGCTGTTGCTTCAAGTGAGTTTGATGTTTATTTGTTACTTCAATTTTTTGGTAGAACAACGTATTTGGCGTTGCCACGAAGCAATAAGTCATTTCAAACAATTTTTTTTCATGATAGCATCAGCACGGTCTGTTACTATTGTTATTTTTTTGGGGGTGGTTCGAGTCCGTCTTAAATACACGCGTATTCTTATTGTTTTAGTTTTAGACATTTTTATTTCACTTTTTGATCATGGTGATCTGTTCAAGGATTCATTTGATTTGAAAATATATCCATGTTTTAGATTCACTTAAAGTTTGTCGAAAAGAGACGAGGAGTTACGAGTTCTCCGGGAACAATTAAGAGACAAGACAGTGAGGTACTTCACCTATTGTTTTCAGCAAATAGAAGTACGTGAATATACCGCAGCTTGCCAATTATAATTATTATTTTTTTGTAGCATATAATTTTGACCTTGTGGTTCCTTTATCCTCTAATTATTATTATCTTTTTTGTTGTAGCACAAAAGACAACCCCAAAAAATAATTTTTGAATGCCTCCCAGGTATTTGCAAAGCGCTACTGCAGCATTAAAAAGGTTAAATAATATTTGTCATTCGAGGACAAGAGTATATAAAGAACACTGACTCATAATTAGAGCTGCGACAGTTGTTCTTTCCATGAGCATTGTTGTCTTTCGTGTTTATAATCATCAAATCCTTTTCATTCTGTATAAATTCCATACTTTTACGGGATGAGAAATTTGCGGTCCAAATTTTAGAACCAATCGCAGGTCACAATTTCACTTGCCCTTACTGCTTATAGATTGGCGATAAGTTTTGAAAAGCGACTGAAGCAAGATCAACGACGAGTCGAAAATACTGTGGAATCAAATACACCCAGTGATATAGAAAAAGACTTCGGCGACTTTTTCGATGGAGAGAGGCTTGACGCTTGTGACGACATCGAGTTCGTGTTGGGCCCATCCGGAGAAATCGAAGATAATGTTTATTATCCAAGATTGGCTTGCTTGATATTTGAGGTAATCATCATAATGTAGCAGTAAATAATTTAAGATCGAACCTAACTTAATATTACATTAAACCAGAAAAGCCTGTTCGAGGAACAGAGAAGCTGACGTTTAAACGGGACTCTCAGCGCTCTTAACCCGACAATTGTAACTGATCTGCTGAATCATAACCAGTCGAGACATGAGGTAAACATCATGAACTAGTGTTAAAATGACTAAAAGAGCGGTCGTCATCGCCCATTCTTGTTGTCGTTCCGTTTAAGGCTGTCATCTCTAGTGAATTGACACTTATTTAGCAATTTTTGAGAAATTTTGCCGGCCCTCAGACTCAGACTCGTGTACGCTGCTTCAAATAGCTAGATCAGGATGTCTTTATTATTATCAACTTGACTCTTGTCTATAAGAATGTTAGAGACAATTGTTGCATAACCAAACGCTCCTGCATGTTGGATTGGGCTGTGAACTAGTCCGGCAAGTTCCGTGGTTCACAAAAAAATAGGCACTCCATGGATTACGACCATCTGTGATGAAGATAACAACAGCATTCCACCAATTTGCGAAGGCATGCCCTTCTAATATCCATAATACATTGCGCACTCACAAAGTAAAGCCAAGAATTTCAAGACGTCCAATTAAAATGTTCTGATTGTAGGTTGTGCCATGATTTTGCTTATTTTTGGAAACATCATGATTTCTTTTGTAGACTGCTTACGAACAGGTGAAAGAGGCAAGGGATGCCGCTTGTGATTTGTTCCAAAACGTTACCAGCCAACTAATTGGGGAAGCTCCAAGAATGTGCCAGGAATTATGCCACGCAAGAAAGGTTAGGATGTACATAACTAAAAGACCGTCACTATATCCTGTATACTCTTGTATCATTCACAAGGCATTTTGAGAGGGTGTACATGCATGTGTACATTATTATCATTGAATCACAATACGATTTAGACACACTTAATAGCCCTTCCTCTTCACTGTCTTAGTCGTACTGAAGTTATTTTTTTATTATTATTTTCATGATAACTATTATTGATTTTTAGATTGATTTTTTAGATTTTGTTTTGAACGTCTTTTCCTCCCAGTTGATAACTTAACCTCTTGATGTGCACAAATGATGGAAAAGCTCCTTTAAAGAAAATTAATTTCAACTATGCTTAATCAATACAAGGAATTAGAAGGTCGATGATCAAAAAATAAATAGATTTAAAAATAAATGAAAAAGAAAGAAGAAGTTGTCCTATGCATTGACCCTCTGTTCTCTAAATATGGACTTAGGCCGTATTTTAATTCAATTGCTTCCTTATGTTTCTCAATTAAAGGAGAATGGTGCTTCTGCTCAGTTACCAGAAACATTTGATCTTTTAACGGGGAGGATGGATGAAGGAATATCAACGGATGTACTTGATGGAATGATGCTTTCCTTGAAAGAAACGTCACACTTGGGTAACCTCGACTGCTTCCAAAAGGTATGTGATAAATAAAGAATGAAACATGGGCACGCGTAGATATGGAATTTCTCCTCGAGTGTCAAACGTATTAGCTCACGAGAGAACACAGCGAACAGGTGAGATATCGATATCTACAAGCAACCATCTTTTATTTTTTTTGTTATATAAACACAAAAGGCCTTTACTAACAAGAAGATTCGATTTGATTAATAAATGAAAAAGTTGTAAGGTGCATCGGTGATAAGGCTTGGAATGAAAGAATGCTTTTAATAATTACAAAAACAAACGCTGGGCATAAGTTTTACTGCACAAAATTCTCAGTTATTGACTTTTTCCATACCGATAGAAGAAGTCTCTTCAGGTACATGGCCAAAATTGGCCTGTGGCAAAAAAAACAGTAGGAGATTTTCGTGCTCAGCCGCGAGGAACGCCATTACTCAACCCAGGCACGTAACATTCTGTTTTGCTTTTCGTATTTTGGTTTTCTTTCACCTCCTGGAAATTTTGAACATTACTGTCTCTAATCAAAACGAATTTAGCAGCCATAATCTGTAAACATTTATGCAACATTAATATCAAAAACGAATATCTTTTATTACTAATTCCAGCCAAATTGTTCTCTGCCAATCGCACACCATGACGCAACAGTGCGAAACAATCCTGGAAAATTCACCCAGCCACACCAGCTTTTCCATTTTAATAAGGAGCACGAATCGAATCTTCCGGATAATTTTAATCAAAGTATTATGCGTAATATATTTCTGTTGACGTCATCAAGTTCAGCTTATCTGAAATCTGCATATCACGATTATTTAAATTATTTTCATTTTTATATCAGTCATCATTATTTTTGTTATTATAAAAGCTGAGGAAGAGAGAAATTCCCAGGATATGTCATCATGGTGAAAGTATTGGCGAACAGCTCTTTTTCAGATTCATTTTATTAATATCTACATTTATTTTTTATTTTAGTTTTGAAATTCTTCATAGTGACTTTTTCACCCTATTTGATGTTTTAACTTCTCAAAATACCCTTAGGATGTCAGGAAGATTGTGTGGGAACGTTGGACAAATTGCATGTCCGAAAGGGAAGAATCATTCTTACCCAGGCCTTCAGAGGATGTGTTGACACAACTCGGTGACTACATAAAGGCATGCATCAGGCTAACATGGAGAATGGTTACACAAGTTCCACCAATGCAGCTTGAGTATGGGGCTGTGCAATTTGACAAAGATTTGCATAAACTGGCGAGATTCCAGAATCGTGCAGAATTCTGCCGTGGCGCAGATCATCTTACTGGGCAGATTATTGCCTGTTACTTGTGGCCTGCACTTTTAGAATCAGGTGGTCGAACTATTTTTCTAGGAGAGGTTATGTGTGAGCCTGAATCGTATGATTATGTTATGATTCCTGATCTTCGATACCCTGAATTAGATTCATAAACTCCCCCACAAAATCTTTCAGAGTGAGGTCACACTTTACAAAATAAACATTATGGATATAAAATATCTGCAAAATTAAAACATTGCAAAAGGAGGCATATAATTTAATCGTTTGTCTATCATTCCAAGACTGTATGATATCTTTACACCTCGCCGGTTGAAGAAGCAGCTCTCTAATCAAACAAAAATTAGCAATATAGATTTGAGACCAGCGTCTTAATTCGTCCTTTTTTTCGGTTCACAAATAAGGGCTAGCCATCGAAATGGCTCAACTTCGGCGGCTCGGAGAAATCTTTCAAGTAGACTGAGGAAATGTAAATAGGGAGTCATTTTATAACTTTTCGGTTTCGGTTTTTTTTGGGAAAATCCCCTTGTTTTTAAATATCTTGCAAAACAAATGAATGGATGTTTCGTGGCACTCAATTTTAATGCTTTCAAAGCAAATTTCTATGTTGAGATTTTCCTGCAAATAATGCCAAATTTATTCCTTCATCGGGATTATGCAAGAAATGTGTTTAACAATAAACTTTCGCATTTGGGTTTCCGTCACATACTCTCTCTCTCGTTACTCGATAGTTATGAAATTAAGAAGGAATGTGTTTTCTGTGTAAACAGATTATTTTAATTCCATGACCGTTGATCGTCACTTGATTCTGGGAATTTCCCTTCCTGTTTGGGTTTCTCAGAAAGCACCCTCCAAGTCGTTCTTTGACACATTGAATGGCGAGATATCATATCCCTAAACTTCTGTTGAGGAAAAGACAAGGCAAACCTAAGGGAATGGCTTCAGAAGGTAATGATGTTAATACTGCTAGAATTTTCAAACAGTCAGTTTTTTAAATCACTGAATCATACATTTGTTTATCAGTTCACGCGAAAGCTACAATGTCCACCACAATCCTTAACAATTATTGTTATCAGATCATGAAAGCTCTTGCACTCAGGAGTGGTAACAAAATGGTGCACTCAGTCAGACTTATTACATTTTCCATCACAAAAGTTACTCTAATTTTGTTCAGGATATGCTTCTAAATCAAAATTATGCCGTAATAAACGCGTGAAGTGATGAAATTTTCGAGAGGTCATACGTTACGTTAATAGAGGTCTGTACTTTCCCTTGCGTCTACAAGGCTTTTATTAGTCACAAGATATAATGAATACTAAATATCCAGAGCATTAAAATATTAAAGTCATTGAATGTAGACTCGTTCATCGATCATTCCAACACTAAATGTTGAAATTATTCCCTAGAAAAAACCAACAATAAGAAGAAGAAAGATTGAGGGGCAGCGTCATTGTCTGTTTGTTGTTGATATGTTAATTAGATTTATGCATTAAGGTGGCGTGACTTGCGATGATTGCAAATGTAAACGGGAAGTCATTTAGTAACCTTTTGGTTTCCGCTTATTCCGAGAAATTTCCCTTGTTATTGAATGTCTTGTAAAGCAATCGGTCGATCTTTTGTGTCTACAAATTTTACTGCCCTCAAAGCAAATACCTGTATTTAAATTTTCTTTACACAAAGCTCAATATATTTCTCGACTATGATTGTGTTTTCCGAGAAACTCAACAGGAAGAGAAATTTATTTCGTGAGCAAGAGAATGGGGCACTTTATTTCGTAATTTGATTTTCGTGAGATACTTCTCGAACTTTGCCTGATAGTCGTGAAATTAGAGAGGAATTCAATAAGATTTTATTTTCTGTGTAATCAGGATATTCTAATCTCATGACCCTTGATCGTGGGTTAATTCGGGGAATTTCCCTTTCTGGTAATTTAGTGTTAACAACTGGGTTGAAAACGTGAATTAGCCACCGTAAAGGGTAAAAAAGCTGATGTTTCGAGCGTTAGCCCTTCGTCAGAGCGATTGAATGTTTAGATGTCTCGGAAAACACGGTCTAAGTCAGTCTTCGACGCTTTGAATGGCGAGACATATTATCACAGAACTCCTGTTTAAAAAAAAGACAAGCAAAATACAAAAGTATGGCTTCAGAAGGTAATTCATACCGCTAGAATTTTCATAAAATTAATTCCAGAGAGATCAAATCTTTGAATCATACATTCGTTTATCAGCTCATGCAAAAGCTACGCTGTCCACCACGATCCTTAATAATGATTGTTTTCAGGTGATCACAGCTCTTACACTCAGGAGTGGTCACAAAAATGAGCATTCAGTCACACATTTTAGTTTACCTTCACAGGAGTTGGTAATTTTGCTTAGAATATGCTTCCAAATCAAAACCCTGAGATCCAACAAGCTTCAGAAAACATTTTACATGTTTTCGTTGTTGACATCTGCAAGGTAATCAATAAGATTCTGAAAAAAAAAAATGGTTTCTTTTGGCATGACGCCATCTGTAGTGACGTTTCTTGTGAAAGCATTGCCAACCAAGTCTGTGTCCGCATAAATTTTGGTTTAGCAAGATAGCTGATTTATTGTCCAAAACTTACATCTAATACATTAAGGGGGTAAGGTTCTAAAGGATCAGCGATGTAGATAGTGTAATGTTTGTAGATATATCGTCTTGTCCCACGCTCGTGGCAAGACGACAAACATCTTTCTTTATTGCTTTACCGAGCTCAAAACTTACCATCTGTCTTATCAACTTTTGGCAATAAGTGCGAGCTATGCAGTAAATGACTATGGCGGATGTGCACGTAAAGTGATCAGTGATCCTAATGGATCTCCTGTGCCCCGATATTTTCTCTACGTTATGAACGAAAGGACAAGTTTTGCATCGTGAGCGAGCGCATTTGAAAGTTCCAGGTTGGTCATTGGTTTGAAATGAACTTCTGACCAAAAAGTTGCCTATGTTTTTGTCACGTTTGAATAAATTAGTAGACATTACCAAAAGATAGTACCAGTCTCTCAATCGTTTTGGAATAATGTAAAGTTTTTAAATTTGATGATAGATTTAACTGCGTGGTTGTGTGGGTGAAATGTGAGAGTGAATGGAATGTGGTCCGTATTTTCCTTCTCAGCCGTTTGTAGTGCTGACTGTCGATCAATTGTTGGGCACGGTGGTGGCCCGCGGAACGACAGAAACAGGATAGCCACGTTTCGATAAACTTTAAATCACTCCAAAACGATTCAGAGACTGTTACCATCTTTTCGCAACCTCCACTAATTTCATTCAAACGTGACAGAGTGCTTCAGGTCTGGAGACAAAATATAACGAACTCGAGAGACATGCCACGTCTTATATCGTTTGATCCCTTGATGTTTAGTACAACGTAATGTTGACACTCTGTTCCCATCCCTTATGATTATAATTTTATGATTCTAGGTTAATTTGGTAGAATATCAGCTAAACGAATCATTCTTTTGGTTTCATTAATTTTGCACTCAGTTACGTTTAAAAACAAGTACTTACTAGAAACGGAAAAGAAAAGAAAAAATGTTGAACAAACTTGCGAGTTCTCAAGAAAACACATTTGCCATAAAAAAGTCGAACCTTTTTAGTTTTCCAAAGATAGTTAAAGATTTACAGCTCTTCTATGTTCTACTTCTCTTCTTATTGTATCTAATGCAATTGCTGGCAAATTCGGCATTGAAACATTATTCAAGTGTTATTGTTTTCACAGTTCGTTAGGGGCAGTATTCTGCAAAGTCTGCAATCTGATTGGTTCCGAGAGCCCGCAATATTCTCCCATCCGACCCGCTCCCAGCGGGTGGTATCCATTTCGTGTTGAGCCGCTTTGCAAAACATCTCTATGTAGAAAAAAAATGTTTCAAAGTTTGCTTGGAAGCCTTTTAAATTAACTTTACCATTACGCAAATAAAAATGTCGCAATCCAGTCTCCCTCTTTAATTTGAATAACCTTTGTTTTCATTGTTATCTACTCGCTCAAAAACTGTTCAGGTTATGGAATTACGGCTCTTATCATTAAGGATAGGGATAAAAAATTGAAAATGTTATTTACCAGCTTAGGTCGGTCCGTATTGATTAAAAGTGTGCCCTATGTCTTACGTATTATGAATATCAAGTATTAGTATTATGTGTTATGAATGATTTTTTATTGTATTTTATCAAGCCTCAAATAAGAACCTAAAGGAAGACTAAGAATGTGATCAGCTTTGTCCTCAGACAAGCTTAAACTTTGCATGCACCAAGACTCATTTATAATCACTTCCGCAGTTGTTTGCTAAGAAAATTGTTGGTTTCGAATTCGAAGAGATCGTCGGTCATATGGTCTAAAAGAGGTAAGAGACCTGTGAAGGAGTAAGAGATCGGCTATCACGTTGCTTCCTTATCTGAGAATATTTAGATCCATCAAACATCCAAGTTGATCTACCTGCCAGATACCTAAAAGCTAAAGCTGATCAAACTTACGCAGGTCTAATAGTATGGTGTTATTACATTTGCAGTTAAAGAAAATCCGTCCGATGATTTTAAGAATCCATACATTGCCGTGGTGGCGATAGACTTTGGCACTTCATACACTGGCTTTGCATTTTCATTTAACAAAGGTAATGAACAAGACGCGATTTTCATGAACCGGGACTGGACGAATGAACAGGGAGGCAGAACGAGCAAGACTCCGACCTGCCTGCTCCTTAATCCAGATCTCAGTTTTAACTCGTTTGGCTACGATGCAATGGAAAACTATGCACAGCTACAAAATGAACACGAGGAGCAGAAGTACTTCTTCTTTCAGCATTTTAAAATGGCACTCCACAACGATGAGGTATAGTAGCTGCTTTACAATTACCTAGAAATCTGTATCGAAGCTTAATCCCAATCGTCTTAGATGAAATGAAGTTCCTTTCCTTTTGGCACCTGACTATCGAATTTTAATACCCTCAATGGAGTTTTATGTAATCAGAAAACCTTTCTACACTGGAAAATCTGGTACTCAGGTGACAATAATCGGGGTCCCATGCGACAATATTTAGCGAACTCTAGAACTGCTGCAAGATATTCTGAGTACTCTCGCGTAAAATATTTTCCCTACTGATTGTAATATATTATTAGAAACTTAACAAGGAAACATCCATTAAAGCTGCAAATGGAAAAGAGGTTAAGGCCCAGACTGTGTTTGCACTTTCAATCGAGTTTCTGAAAGACGAAGCAATCAAAATTCTTGCCTTGGACACCGGTGATGACCAATTTAAGACAGACGATATTCAATGGGTACTAACTGTTCCTGCAATATGGACTCCAGCAGCTAAACAGTTCATGAGAGAAGCAGCCAATCAGGTGAGGTTGCATAAAAATACATCGTGGTCACTGATTCCAGCGTATCAGTGCATGGCACGGATCTTTTTTTCAGTCAGGCTAAATCACCCATTTTCACTTCCGTGCCTCTTTGTTCAGAAAAAGAGAGCTGCAATTTAAAGGTCTAATTACACAACTGAGGTAAAGTAGAGACGCGGAGACATTTTCCTTATCAACCCAGAACTTGGCATTGTTTAGGCTATTTCTGAATGCGCCCGAGGCACCAAAAGCAACCGATCAAAACATTTACAGGCATTAGTAAATTATTTGGCTTCACCCAAACTTTTTCTGCTCTTTTTTTTTATTTAAACATTAGTTTTGTGTGTCTGGCGTCAACCCATATCCTCGTGCTTTTTAAACCCTTTGTTGCTTACTTTTCTCCCTTTCGGTACATGTGTTTGCTTAGGAGGGAACGGGGGTCTCCATTTTTGCGAATTAAATGAAAAATTTACAAGCCACATTTTTCACTTACTTTTTTTCTTGTAGGCCGGAGTTGGAAAGCAGACTAATCCTGGCCAGTTAATTATCGCCTTAGAGCCCGAAACTGCCGCAATTTTCTGCATGGAACGAAAGAATATAGAAAGAGAATGTAACAGTGATTTCAAAGATGAAGAGCTTTCAAAACCAAAAACACGGTATATGGTCGTTGATATAGGAGGTAAAGATGTTACTCAAAGATCCCTTTGTTCTATGCTTTAAGTGAATTACCACGCAAAAAGGGTAGCATATACATTTTTAAAGGAATAAAGTGAGCACATTAAGCTCGACTGAATTGGGAATATAAATATGAAATAAAACGCTTAAGTTCCATTCAAATAGACATATTCCACTCGGAAACAATAGCCTCCTTGTTGCAGACGCAGAGAGGTTTAGGAAAGATGTACAGAAAAATAGGCAATAACCAAAGATGAATTTTGCCGCTTGATTTAGCGAAACTTTCCGATATGGGGGGAGTAAGAAGAATTAAAACTGATTGGAATTTTTTCTTTAAATATTTCTAGGTGGGACATTAGATGTGGCCATACATGAGGTTATAGAGAAAGGCAGCATCAAAGAGATTGACAAAATAACGGGTGGTCCCTATGGCGGGATCAGAGTGAACCAAGAGTTCGAAAGGCTCTTGGGAGATTTGTTCGGAGTAGCAAGGCTGAATGCGTACAAAGAGAAGTTTCCGTCCGATTGGCTGGCTCTGATGAACGACTTTGAAGGGAAAAAGCAAGGATTTCGTATGTTGGAAGGAAAAATGACAAGAATCCGTTGTGCGGCAAGCTTTGCTTCTGTGGTTGAGCAAAACACAGTTAAGGAGCGTTACGATGAGAATGATGTTAGGTTGAGGAGGAATGAATATCTTTGCATAAGCCCAAAAATCATGGAAGTAAAGTTGTTCGCACCTGTCTTATCTGACATCAGGGATCATTTGAAAAGACTGCAGGAAAGGACAAAGGCTTTAAATGTTACAACCATGATTCTAGTGGGCGGATTCGCGGACTCTCCGATTCTTCAGAATGAGATTAAGAATGAGTTTTCAAAGGATTTTCGAGTTGTGGTCCCCCGAAATGCCGCTATAGCTGTAGTTCAAGGTGCTGTATTATTTGGAAAGAATCCAGCCAAAATAACGGAAAGGGTCATGAGCACAACTTATGGTGCCGATTGCTCTCGGGATTTTGACAAATGCGTTCACCCTTCCGCTAAGTTTTTTTTAGCCGATGGTCGCCCGAAGTGCAAAGACTTATTTAGCTGCTTTGTGAAGGAGGATGAGGTCGCACGGTCAGGTCATACTGTCAAGAAGATGTATACCCCCCTTCATGCAAATGACACTCAACTTACATTTGGATTTTATGTTGCAAAAAATCCCGAATGTAAGTTTATCACCGATGAAGGAGTAACTAAGATTGGAAGTGTCACTGTCAACTCTCCAGATACTTCTAAAGGGCGAAGCAGAAATATTGAAGTCACTATGCACTTTGGAGGAACAGAAATCGTCGCCACAGCAATAGATATTTCGAGTGGAAGCACAGCTCAAACCACTCTGGATTTTTTCCATGACTAACCGCTATCAAAGAAATGTAATAGCACTCTATTATTCTGTAAGAAGCTGGTGTCGATCTGAAACTTTATGGCAAGTGCTATGCACAGCGGCGTAGAACAATTTGTGTAGTAGAAATAATTTTAATTGCGAATTTTAAAGTTGTAAGTGCTGCTTGTAGGAACGAGGATGAAAAAAGACGCACCAAGGAAATTTGGCTTTTTTAGATATCAAATTTTCTATCGAAGGCGACGGTCTATTCACTAGCTTAAGTGTGAACTACAAACCTACAGATTCTTATAGCTCCTTATGATATTCATCTTTGCATCCATCGCATGTCAAGAATTCCACTTTTTCCTGATAAATTAACCGTAACAATTTTTTAGTTTATAAATAAAATAAGAGAGATGACAAATTTGAGCCCGGTAAAGAACTAGAGAAAGATGTTGTTCGTCTTGTCACGAGCGTGAGACAAAGAAAAAATTCTGAGTCCCCATGAGGAAACGAACCCTAGACCTTCGGATTCTGCGCTCCGATGCTCTACCACTGAACAGAGACTCTGCGGTGAGCGAGGTCTATTACGAAGTTCAAAAGCCACGCGTTCTGCATACCGCTTAGATCAGCAATATCGAAAGCATCTATTTACAAACATGACAAATGTATTCGGTGGCCTGATATAAAAAGTCACTTGATCAAAAATACATCTTTCAAAAATTTTACTTAAAGCTGAAAGGAATGATATGCGACGAAAGTTGATACTTGAGGAGCGACAGCCTTGTTTGAAGATTAAGATAACTTTGGCAATTTTTAAACTGTCTAGAAATATGCCTTGCCTTAATTAACATATCTCAATGGGCTAGCAATCTCAGTGGGCCAACAGAAAGTTTAAATATTGCATGGTTAACGAATGAACACTTTTTGGAATTACAACTGGGTACAGTCTCTTCAAAGCAATCGATTATTATAGGTTTACCTACTTCGTTACAAATATGTATCAGTTATTGTTTACAAGAATCATCGAAAGGCTACAGGATTTTTATCGGCAGGAGTCAGCATGTTCCTTGTTACCCGCTAAAAAGCACTCTTAGATCATCTTTCGTTATATCCTTTGACTAGCACAATCTAATTAAACGGTTAAGTCATCTTGTGAACGTGTTCTGCTTTGTTCTGCGAAATACTGCATTCCAAAACTTGCTGCTAAAACACATGGCGGCGTTACAATTTACCGCTGATGGAGTCATTTAATCGTCACCCAATGCCGCCGTTACATTGAGGGGGTAGGGGAAGAGCTGTGAGAAGGGCTAAACTGTACGTAGATTGCAGTAACACAAAATTTATCAGCTCCATTTATTCAATGCTTAAAAACACCTAAATTACGATAAGAATATTGATTCTCGTCTCTGCTTTTCAGAAAAATCCTCAGGAAAAATTTGCTCCGTTGTTTTGGTGGATGAGGGGTGTTGGTGGGTGGAATGTTGGAATTTCTTTTACTGCTGCAAAATCATTACTTTTTCCCAACTAACCGAAATAGAATCTATTAAGAGCTGTAAAGCTTTTTTTTTTCTTTTTCAGTTATCAATCATTACACTTACAAAATTATGTTTTTCTATCTACAATATTTTTGCCAATATGTTCTAGGAACTGTTGTTCTGGCTGGGAACTAAGAAGGGACTTTCTGAAGTCAACTTTTAGAAGACAATAAATAATTCAGCCGTTTGGCAGAAGGTGTGGGGCTAACAAGAACAAAGTTGTATTTGCGGAAGTCTCTGAAGCAAAAACAAATAAATAAATATAAATAAATGTATCCCTGTGAGGGTAGTTCGTGGGAAAAAAATCATTTAATTTAATTTAGTACAGAGCAAACAGACCGAATACGTACTTATTACTGAGTTATCTACAATGTTTGTTTAGAGGTGGGACTAACGTGTTACTGTTTTGTCTAGTGTTTTGGCAATAATATGGAGGGTAGTTGTTCGTTAAAGGCTCTTGTTAGTGGAGTTTGCGACTTTTCCGATAAAGATCGAAAGCGTCAAACTGGAATTATACTATTACTTTCATGTAATAGGAAAATTGTCAATCATAAATCTACTTACAAATTTACGGGTCCTGAATACGAAGTTGACTTTATTTTATGTTGAGCGGCTAAGTTCACGAGAAACGAACGCATGCTCGCCATGACCATATGTCCCATCCATTGCACAAAACTTGGTTTGGGATGGAGCAGAGGATTCAGCACACGATGTAGGGTTCCAGAAGGAATTTGCAATCATGGAAAAGGTAAAGGAACTTGGCCAAAAGGTGAAGGACTTCAAACATTGCCTGAAGAGAAACCTTACCTCAAACTTTTTAGAGACTCAATTGCTTTGTTATTTTATTTAATTAATAAATTTAATTGATCAATTTGATTATTTTATCTATTTACTAGTGAATTAGCTCATTAATTTATTAGTATATAGTTTTAATTATTTCTTTATTCTGAAAAGCCCATTTGGGACGAATGAAGTATGTATGTATGTCTAGAGAGGGCTGGGGAAGGAGGAATCCGAGATAATCTTGCACAAGACTGGTTTGGTCGCACAAGTTGGGTCAGGTAGGTTTTTATTTTTTATTGAATGTACGTTGTGGTTCCACATAGTCATGGTAGCCTGCGTAGCTGGCGGTTGTGTTTTGTTTGGGCAAACGAGTAGCGAAGCCGCGGGAGAAATGGGAAAGAGGCGCTTCCTCCAACCATAACCGCCAGTAACGCAAACTAGTGGTCATGCTTACCAACCTGGTTTTGTTCTTTCGATATGTAGGTGTATGTAGGAAATGCAGAAAGCGATTAAAGGAGATGATACATAGTGAAGTGCGTGATATTCAAGTCTCAGAACTGTGAGCTGAATCTAAGATAACTGAGCAGCTGGAGAGAATGGCGTTAGTGAGTATGTAAAAATCAAAAACACTGTCAATTGTTACTTATTAAACAATTCCAAAAAAAAAAATCACGCACACAACAGATGAAAAAGATTAAGAGTTGTTTTCTTTATGAATTATTAGCTGATAACGCCACGTCACGGAAAACAGATGTTGTCATCCCAAGGCATATGACTGTTTGCCACTGTGTGTCGTGATAAAGAGGTTCAGACGCTCTCTATTCGTTGCAACAAGATATTTCTAAAGTATTTTGTTTAACGTCATAGCATTCTAAACACAAATTAAGGACTGGGGTGTGTGTGATGAGTTTCCGGTTTCCAGACTCTCATAAAGATCAACAGGCATAAGGGTATTCATAAATTGCTTCATTTAAGTAAATAATTCCTGCAGTTGAGATGATTGTAGAGGTGCTTTAAGCTAGTGAATAACACTTGAAGGAAATGAAAAATGATCTTTTTCCATGTTTAGGATGGTCGTGATGACGAGGTGGCCTTCAATCTTCCAGAACCGGTGCAAACACCACAGAGTGTAATAACAAATGCTCAAACACCACAGAGTGTAATTACGAATGCTGAAACACCACCAAGTGTCTATCAGCCATCTGAATGTTTTACAACTCCATTTAGAGATGACTCAGTTGAAGTGACGAGCAACTCAAAAGAGAAATTGAATTCCTTTCTGGCTTCTAGAGGCTGAGTCCTATCCGTTATCCGTTCGATTTTACGCTTTGAGTGCATTTGATAGTTTTTGGCGGGTAATAAACAAACGAAATGGCGACCTTTGTTGCAAAGAATAGTGGTGGGGTGAAAGAGAAGCCAACGATAGTCTTAAAAGAGTTTTAAGTTTAAAGAGTTTTTTTTTTTCGTTTTAGTTTCAACAAGCGGCGCCAGCGACTAGCAGGCGTGCGAGGATTCACACTGAAATGGGAGAACAACCTTCGTTTTTCATAAAATTGTAATTTACAATCCTTGAACTTGAAAACAATCCTAAGATTCATTAAAAATATCACTTACTCCGAAGCGCTCGGAGTTTACAGATGTTCAAAAGCTTTTTCCGTTATGGCGTGAGATTAGGGACAAAATCGTTTATTACATTTCGTATCGTGTGTTTTTTCTGTGTGAAACAACAAAAGGTGCCGGCGACTGACGAAATTACAGGTTAACACGAAATTCAAATAACACCTAAACAAATAATTTTAGCTACCGATTTTCGGTGAATTTTTAAAGAACAATTATTTTAAGTTTCAATACAATTTGAAGGTTCAAAATAATTATTACGTACTAAAATGCGAAAGTTATACACCACAAAATTAATAAATAGGCCTCAAATGAAATTCTATCTTGTTCTTGATTATACGTTGCCTAGCACGTGACCAAAATCTATCAAGGCGGAAATCCAAAATGACGGTGGCAGTCTGGGCTTAGTTATATCACTCGAAACTCGTTCCCATTTGTCTCATTTAATAAAGAGGAATTATTATTGTTTTCATTAAGACAACATTGCCTCGATTTTCCAATATTTACAACGATAGATAGTAAATTTCACTTTTAACCCACATTTACTTCCAACCTTTTCTTTTGAACCAGAAACCAAAATGATATATGTTTGAAACACATGACATCATCCACCCTTGTCAAATGTAATAGCATGATCATTTCAATTGTAATGCCTTCTTATCCCAACGTTACTTTGTTTCTTTGCTACATTAGCGAACACTGAACTACTGCTCGTACTCTAAATATGACAATCAACCACAAAATTCCCCAAAATAGATAAAATTAAACATAATCCAAAAAATCATGTAAGTCATCTGTCAATTCACGAGTTTGCTCATAGAGCACTTTGATTGACATTCATTACCAGGCCGTACGTCATTCAAGATTTGCCATTCGGCAAGGGCACTCCTAGGCAAAAGAGCAAACTGGCAAATTAAAACTGGCAAAACGTTATCTCAAATGTAACTATAAGGCAGGACTATAAAAATAAGTATATTTTTTGAAAAAAACGTACTTTAAATACGTACTCCGTTATCGAACTCCGGAACTAAACATTTCATGTCAAACCCTAGAAATACAGAGGGAGTTTAATAGGCACGATAACGTTCTTTTCAGTTTTTTTACGAGTGTCATACCAAGTCATGTATAGTTCACACAATTCGATTTGACAACTCAGTTTTTCGTTACACTTTGATAGCAAGTACATATATCGTCAGCTTCCAGAGTTCCAGATCACTGTAGGGCATCTGCTCTCAGTTACCCTGGAGATCCAGATTACATTAGTAATTGCGATCATGATCATGACATCGCATGTGATCGATGCGAGTTGTTCCCTGATGTGGTCCATGAAATCGAGTCCGTTTTAGAGGAGGTTCAATCCAAGAAAGAGGAAAAAGATGAGATGAAATATGAGGTTTCTCAAGCTAAAAAAAAATGAAGCATTGAAGACTCATTTGCTCCGCTTCATCAACCAAGACGAAGCATTACATATACCTTAAAACTTCTAGAGCCGCATTCTGTGCTCTTAGTTTTGGATTGGGCCATGAAATACCTCCCAAGAAAATACCGCGAGAGTCAGACCGATTGGTTTGGAAAGCGAGGTATTTCATGGCACATAACCACGGCCACAAGAATGTACGAAGGACAACTTCAACTGCTGTCACTCGTCCACCTTTTTGAAAGCTGTTACCAAGACAGCAACACAGTTTTGGCTGTAATTGATGACGTGCTGAAACAGCTCACGGAAACAATGCGCAAAGTTAATCGCGTCCACCTCAGACAGGACAATGCTGGATGCTACCATAGCGCATCTACATTACTGGCAATTCAGCAGGTGGCCAAAAGTCACGATATCAGCATAGGGCTAGATTTCTCGGATTCCCAAGGGAAAAAGGGGTCTTGCGACCGTAAAGCAGCCGCGATCAAGAATCATATTTGAATTTATCTAAATTCTGGTCACGATTTCGAGATTGCCGACCGAATGAAGACCGTTATAGAGTCCTTGGGTGGTGTACCCGGTGTTAGGGTGTTGCACGAAAACTTAGAATGGGACCGATGGGTATTTAGTATTGCTAGCGCCTCACATCTGCTAACACTCCACAAACTGTGACCACCGTATGGACAAAAAGGCTTGTAGAGTCTTTTAATATTCTACAAGGACTTGAAAGTCCTATCCAAACTCTACCACTGTTTTTAGGTTTATTGACCCTTGCCAGCCAACCTTCCAGAACACCTTCAAAAGGTCTAAATCGACCGCCGCAAGTTTTTTCTATAGAATATTTAAAAATTACTCGCCTTAAGCTCAGTGAATATCATGATAAATAATTTCCGAGACGACGTCGAAAGGATTATTATTATTATCTTCTAAATCAAATTGCAAAATAAACGCTTATGAAAGAAACGATACATGTGGTGAAAAATTAACTACTTAATATATAAGCAATTTAGTTTCTGAGCAAATGCTCTCATTTAACATCAATAGGAAAAAATGTCCACGTAAAGACATTTTAATGTTTTGACTTGTAGACGAAATAAAATGGTACGTGCATAAACAAACAGAATACTCATTGTTAATCGCCTACATTCTATTCCATCTGTTATCGTTTATTTTTAAGAGTTCCTTCTTTCTCTAACAACGTCACAAGTAATACTAAATATAATAGGTCGTTTTATGTCAGAAAAGCCAATCACATCGATCCTGAATCGAACTGATTTGTGCCCCTCATTTACATTTGGAGCGTAGCACAAATAAAAAATATTTAAAAAGATTTTGAACATCAAAGCAGTTTCTGAAATACACATAAGCTTTTGCTTTAGTTGATAGACGTAAAAATTCAAGAGAAGCTTACTCGGTATACCCTTTCAGTTATCTTACACAAGACTTCTCCTTTTCGAATACATCTTCCTTCCCCATCAAATAGTCCCGGCCAAAGATAACATGCTATCTCCTCTTCCTGATGTTGGTCAGGGGTTCCTTTCACCAACATACGTACCTCAGGACTCATATGGTAACCCATATTCTTATGGTACCGTTGTAGGTGCGAGGAATGATACTCTAACCTCAATGGTGGTGTCTGGGTAACCATTCTCCAAGTAAGCTGGATACTTGCTTTAATGTACTCCTGGAATAGTGGTTTATGAAGCTGACTCACTGCGTGTGAAATTTGGCTGTTTCTCACCAATATCTCCTTTTCTTGCCACCTGCTCCACTTCCACTTAGCGGCTTGAATAACATCCTGAAATTTTCAGTGCTGGTTATTTAAAAAGTTAGGAGTATATACGTTCACAAGTTATCTTTCAAATCAAATTTGCAAAATAATCGCGTATGAAAGAAACGATAAATGTGATCAAAAATTAAGAAAGTCGACAACGTCGACAACAGTAAAAGCGCCGGTGATATATATATATATATATATATATATATATATATATATTATGAGAGGAAAAAAGGACGTAACTACATTTCCCGACAAGCCTATTTCGCGAATCGCTTTAAACCCCTGAAGAGTGAAGCGATTCACGAAACAGGCTTGTCGGGAAATGTGGTTACGTCCTTTTTTCCTCTCATAATATTTATTCTGCTCTGCTTCAACGTATTGAGCACTGTTCCACGCGAAAATCGACTATAAATATTATGAGAGGAAAAAAGGACGTAACTACAATTCCCGGCAAGCCTGTTTTCGTGAATCGCTTTAAACCCCTGAAGAGTGAAGCGATTCACGAAACAGGCTTGTCGGGAAATGTAGTTACCTCCTTTTTTCCTCTCATAATATTTATTCTGCTCTACTTCAACGTATTGAGCACTGTTCCACGCGAAAATCGACTTGCATATATATATATATATAGACTACGCGCTTCTGATTGGCTGAAAACGAGTACACTTTTCATGTCACACGAGTGCAAAGTTGTTACGCGAGTGAAAAGTTGTAACGTGAGTGCAAATTACAGATAGCGCGCGCGTTGTCAAAATTTCGTCTGTCTTGACTTTCTAAGATGCTTTCTCCATGAAAATGATCAACAAAAACTTGCACTCGAAGTCATCTTATTATCGATACTAATATGGTTAACAATTTTTTTCAGACCTGACATCGACATTCACCTTCCTCCCCTTTCTCCATGAAGAATGATGCACAAGACAAAATGGAGCTCGAGAGGGGAAAGGGCAGGAAATGTACGATATATTGGCTTGGGATGAAAATAAGATTGCAAAGATTAACTGCTTAATCGTCTCGTACCTAGGTAATGTTTTTGATCTGAAGATAATGATTGAAAAAAATGCCTCTCAAAAGTTCGAAAAAAACAATTCTAGATTTCTAAGTAATTTTCAAAAGTCAGTATAGTAATTAACTCTAAGTTATTGAGTTTTTTTTGTTTTGTTTTTTTTTTTTCAATTTACTTATTTCCCGTGTGCGTTTGATCAAAAAAAACTGAACTACAACTCGGTTTCTTCGTGACACCTTTGAAAACTTATCAGAAAAAAAAAACCATTAGATTCGATCGTGACTGATGATCTCATATGAAACCAACCAGAATCATACCAATTAGCAACCTAACCCTAACCCTAACCCTAACCCCTAAGCAAAGATATCTCAAGTTTCTTTAGAGCCTCGTATAATTTTGTACATTAATATCTGACAAATATCCTCGCTAAGGTTCGTCAAAAATGCGTCAAAACTCGTTAATTCGTTTAGGCATAGGTTACTCACATAGAAACAAACCTCGGGTTTTCGGCCTCCAAAGAAATTCCCAGTCTTCGCACCTCATTTAAGCGCGTGTCGATGCGGTCATGCCGCCAACCAATAAAAAGAGAATAATACATGGGCGCGCGTAGATAAGGAATTTCTCCCCGAGTATTAACTCCATAGCTCACGAGTGAGATGTTGAAGTGAACACGAGAAGGCAAATTTCATATCTACAAGTGACCTTGTATTATTTTTTTTATCATATAAACCCAATGGCCCTCTACTGAGAAGAAAAGCCGCCTTCATTAATGAATGAAAATAAATGAATCGACAATTGCAGAGTGCTTTAGCGCTTACTCTTAAGATGGAAAAATGCGTTGAATCATGATTAAAAAAATAACAATGGTCGTAATTTTCAATTTACAAACTTCTCATTTATTGATTTTGTCCTTACCGACACAAGATGTCTTTCAGGTAAACGGCCAAAATCGGCCAGCGGCAAATCTTCCAGTTGTCGATTTTCATTCTCAGCCGAGGGAAATGCCGACACCAATGCCACTGAATTCGTACCTTTCGGTTTTTCCTTTGTGTATTGGTTTTCTCTCCCTTCTAGGAAAGTTTGAACCTCATTGTCTGTCAGCGATACAGATTTTTTAAGTGTTTTCGCCGCCATAACTCAAGAAGTTCCAAGAAAGTACTTATATTGAGAATTTTGAAGGCTTTGTTGTTCATTCATCAACCTGACCGAGTGGCGCTAAAGGCGAGTGACGTGTCAGCAGCTGACTGGCTATATCAACACACGTGAAAAAATATCGTATTTTTTCACTTATGTTGTTACAGCTTTTCTCAGGGCCGGAAATCCCCGTCGCAGTTTATGTGATGAAAGGCAATATTGAACTCCCTTCTCGAGTCCCTTGACAAAGAGGCTTTTGAAATTCGCGGTTAAACGAAGTCCAAAAAATTCATCAAGAAAAGCAATTTGTAAAGTCAGACTTTTTTACTTCATCAAAATCTCTTGCCTTCGACTTCTTTGGCTTGGGCCTTCTGATAGATTTGCCACAAAGTGACATCTCTTTTTGACTGTTTCATGAAGACTCTTAGTTTTCAATTTTTTGGGAAATGTGACAAATTCACTTCTTTTGTGCGGTGCAATGCGTGATGTAAACGAAATATGCAAATCGAGATCCACCACACTGTTCATCCTCACCCCGACGATTTACTGCTTAACCATGAAACCTTCAAAAATTATATGAACAAGTGTTGTTTTCCACCAAGATACGTACTGAGAGGCTGAGTCAAATCAATTACGAACTATTAGAGAATCATAATACAAAAACCGAGACCGTTTTTTCCCAAATACCTCTTGTAGGGCACATTGTTGTAACTTTTTTCGAACAAAGATAGAGTGTACAGGACAACATACCTCCACTAAACAATCAAGGTTGCAATTGGGTGCCGTTTCTTTCAAGATCATCATTAGGGCATCAACAGCTTCAACCGGATACTGTGATTCTTGACGTCCTAAGCAGACTGGATAGGTAATCGATGTTTTAGAAATGCCCGTCTGATGGTAAAGACAAAAGACTGGTATGCTACACGATATTACAATAGGAATATTTAAAATGCATCATGCAGTCATAACATCTATGGAGGGCTAAAAAGACGATTAAATGGATACGGCTGAACAAGAATTAACAAAATCCGAATCTTTAATCTATCTATCCGGGTGAATTCAAATTTAATTTATATATTCCCTAAATTACTAACCACTCTGTAGACAACTTGCCGGCTTAAATGAAAGCCTAAACCTTATTGATGCAGCTGGAATCTGAGTTTTCATATGAAAGGCAAGTCCTTCATTTAAATGACAATAGGACCGAGCCGATTTATTTTCAGTTAACGATGCAAATCACCTTTCCTTACTATAAGGCTTGACGCCTCTTTTTTCGTCAAGAGAGATTCGTGTTCATCGTGTCTAGTGAGATCTAGCTTTTCTTCAAAATGACGCTATATCTTAACATCTACAATTGATCCGCACGTAAGGGGGGGGAGGGGGGAAACTAGAAGGATGATATGGTTTAAATACAATGTCAGCGTCCTTACTCAATATCGTTATGAAAAAGGACCAGTCTCAAATCTTTACAAGTGTTCTATTTATATTAATCTTAACCACCACTTTTCATCTATCCTCGTCGGAGATTAATTGCTCTAAGGGTTTATTTTATTTTTCTTACCCTTTTACAGCGGGTCATCGATTTGATCTCTTCTGGGGCTAATTGAATAAAACCTTTCGTTACTACTTTCCCCAATTCAAAAATTGTTCCTCTTGCCTCTTCCATTGTTTCGTAGGCAGCCTAAAAAAAAACAAAACAAAACAATACAAAAATCAATAATGTGAGAATGGCAATTACTGTACTAAAATTATACATAATGTACATCTCTATGGCGAAATGAAATCCTAGTAATACATTTACCGCCGTATACAGCGACGAAATCTACTCATTCCACCAACACCTAAACGAGCAGAACACGAACAATTAGCAGACAAGGCGCAGAAAACCGACGCGTACCGACATATTACCAGACAAGTCATCTTACTACCCGGCATCACACAGAGTCGTTACTATTATGCACCCAGGGCTCTAAAAAGACAGGGTGCTCGACAGGCACCCTACCCGAAGAAAACCAAAACTTTGACAATGTTTTTCCCTAAAAGAGCAACAGTTAGATTCAGCGACACACTTAGCAGCGACAACACCTACGACAACAATGACTACACCATAAATGAATGCATATCTGAAACCACCTCGCGCATGCTATAACCATTCAATATCCATGTCACCCATAAAACGATCATTACTACACTACGTCAATTACAAAAGACAGGGTTGTTTTATAACAAACTTTAATACAAGACCCACTAAGCACGAACGAGCGACGAGAAATGGTAATAGAAAAATCACATAACTGGAAGGTCATCTAGTCACGAACCACGCTATTGACTGGGACTCTGCCTAATGCTTAACCTACAGCTCTAACTATTCCCAGACTGACTCTGTAAAGCTAGTTAACTTATTTAAAGTAAACTACCCTAAATAGATATCAATAACTACTGGCACCAATAAAACGACTTATTCAAGACATTTGCACCGCCACGGAACCGAACAGAACGACTATGCAGTCATTCTGCCGACGGATCGAAACGAATCACGACCGATTTATATGCACCAAATGAGTCTTACAGCCAATATAATCGCAGCTAAACTAACTAGACATTATGCAAGGACTGGAACTAAAACAGTCGCTGACAACAACTCTTCATTTGACTCTGATGGTGACCATCCACTCAGTTTGTCGAAGGTCAGTCACCACAACCGACTACGATCCTTCTCAGGACTACCCCCTCCCGCACGATCAGATTACACGAAAACATTGTACCCACTGGTTCAAACCATTTATTGTAAAATCAGAATGGTTTTCATTAGTCGTTCCACTTAAAAGATGGAAAACTGTAGCAAAAACCCCGAGAGAGAGAATATAGAGAAGTTTTATATAATTTATATTGCAGTCAGAATATGCGAAATGAGAATTAGTAGGACGTACATGGTCATAATGCTACAAACAATGAACGACCCTTGCCGACTTGAAAAATGTAGCATTGACGTATGTTTTTTATAAGAAGCTCATGCCCATCGTCTTATTAAAAGGGTTAGCTCAAAAGTTTTGAAACGACTTCAGAATTAATTATTGATACTCTGAACGAAACATCTACATTTCATGAGTATTAACTTAACCGTAAACGCAAGACATACCTCAAAAACAAGACAAAGAAGTCTGGGGCAATAAACGTCGACCTCCATCTGCTCTTTAAATGAGCACGATGTCTGCATTTTTTCCAATGCATCCATTCTCGTTTCGTCGAAGAAATTAGCGAAATCCTCTTCCACCTTTGACTGTCTGTTCTCACTAAGCGTGTCCTCCACTTTTGACTGATTTTGCTTTACTCTTCTCTCACTGAGAGCGGCAACTCTGCAAGATAATAAGAGACCATTCAGTGCTAAGATGATACACACATCGTCATCATCAAAAAGAAGTTGAGAGAAAAAATGATAAGGGAAATTTGTATAAAAGGATATGAAAATAGCTTCTGAGAATTTTTTTGAAATGTAGTTGGTCACTTTCAGAGGCTGAATTCACGTTTGTATTTTCAATCCTAGGCGAAATTTAGATGCCTCATGTAATATCGTTTGGATGAAAAAGCAAAAACCATATATACATCATGCAAAGGTTCTGAGGGCGGCTTTCTATACAGCTAACCTTATTTATTATAAATATCCTTGACTTGAGATATCTTGGGATTTTAAGTTTTTTTTGTTTTTGTATTTTTTCATTTTTAACTTGAATGTGCTACCTTAAGTAGGCTTCCTACTGGGAGCTGTTCATTTGATAGCCATTTTACACTTTCTAATCATACACATTCATATGCGTGTGTTTGTCTTTATGCATTACTACTTCAAAGACAAGGATTTTTAACTCGAGACAGCGATCTCTGGACTTTTTCATTGCTGTGCGAGTAGAGGATAACGTTCAACTTTAAAATTCAAAAACGGTTGCAATTCCGCTTTCTGTGGATGGTGACGACGAATTTGTTCTCATGGTGGTGCTATTTTCTTGACCAAGTAAAAATTTACATTTCGATAAATCCTTGCATATAACACACCTCGCTCTTCATCAGTTTAGAGCGTGTGACTTGACAATTGCTTTTCTTTTCAGTTTATCTCATGTAGCGTTCACAAAATACAGTGTGTTGCGTAGTCAAGAACACTCATCACGATTAGAATTTTACAAGTATAATTAAATCTGTTTAAGGGGAGGAAATAGATGACTCGTATTCCGAAAAGCATTGCTTAGTAAAGCGGAGGAATTCAATCCTAAGTAGCTTACAGGTAAGCTCATTGCTGGTAACCCGTATATAAACATGAGATGCAAAAGACCCTTTATATACTCCTGTGCTGGAACCTGTTTCCTTCATTCAAAAGCTAGTTTACGAGATGAAGGAAGATCAACATGAAGCAAATTCCTGAGCCAACTTTTAATGTAAACTATCGATTATTTCTCGAAAACTTCTCTTAACATTAACAGCTTGTCTGTTGTGATCTCTATAGATGGAATTGTGTAGTTCAAGATCGAAATAAGACGCACCTCACTTTCAGCTGCGCAAGAGGAAAAAAAAATTATTCGCGCTGAATAAGCCTACGTATTTTGAAAAGAAAACATTTATTAGGCAATAGTTCACAAATGTTTATGTATGTCATACTGTTTAACGATACATGAACATGAAGGTTTGAAAGACTTTGCTTTGATCTATGTAAACAAAGTATCACCGACACCCTTTACGGTTTAAGGAAAAATAAAAACTTGGAACGGACTAATAGATTTATGCTGACTTGCTGAGGGTTGACCTCAACAAGTTACGTTTCAGTATTCATTTCCTACTCAGCGTTGCTTTTCGGTTTTAAGTCGGCTGCTTAACCTGCTGTAGAATGTGTCTTCTAAGGTCACATGTACTAAATGATGTCAGTTAAAACGAAATTTCACACAACTTAAAAGCTGGTTTGTTCGTTTTCTTCAACCTTTCTTGATCATCAAAATAAAATTTTTTTTTTTCATTTTAATGATTATTTACCGTAAATTACATTTAATGTAAAAAATACAAGGGAAAGCCACGAAGCGCAGCAAAGTATTGAATACTTTATTTCAAGAGAATTTAAGAGATTGCCGATGCGGTAAAATGAGAATCAGATGAGCCGGATTTAAGAAGGTTGTTAGACGTCTTTTGCTATATTACGGAATGTTTGGCGCAAGCGGTAAGGGAGATGATTTTCCTGCTGCTGCTATATTTCTCTGCCGTGTCCTTACTGCGTTCTTCTCAGCTGAACAAAAATTCCAAAATTGCAGAAATTCATATGCTGATTTACAAAACGAAAATAAACACGCACTTGCATCTAAAAAGTAAGTTATAGTTCGCTTTCATTAATCGATCGCAATCAACCTTCATGCCGCCCTTGGGGTGTCGTGGTATGTATCACTTTCAGAGCCATTGTAAATAGCCAAAGATGGCATATATCAATAGATGTAGCTGTGTCACATTTAAATCATTTATTTCATGCTGCAAAATTATAATATACAGAGGGCTCGGCGACAAATAAAACTTAAGATATCTCTGGTTCAAAAGCAATACTGTCCAGTTGAGTTTATGGGGAACAAAAAGAGGGGTTAACATAAATATTTTCTATTGCTTAGCTGTATCTGCACACTAACAGGTCTTAGTTTACGACTTAGGTTTCTTTGAGATAGAATTAATCTGAAAGGCATCAATCATGGTCTATTACTAAAGTAAATAAATTAAAAAAAGGTATTCAGCGTTTTAACCGATTAGGCATGTACTGTAATACAAAAGGTTACCCGATGGCGCCCGATGTTTTGGAACTTCCAATGTTCGCCAAGACCTCGATCTGTTCCTGTTGATCTTCGATGGTTGCCTCCAATGTTTGAATTCTTTAGAAAGGGATAAGAACAATAAATGCTCTCCTTCATGATAAACTAGGGGAAAAAACAAACGTTATTTTGGACTTCTATTTTCTCCATTCATATAAAACGAAATACAGGAGAGTTAGGTTCGTAGGTTTTAGAGAATGAAAAAGGGAAAAGAAAACTGAACCACGCATGGATTTTTTAATTGTAATTAGTGTGATATTTAAATTGTATATTTATGCTTTTACCTTACTGAATTACCTCTGGACGAAAAAGGGCAGTTTTCCAATTAAAGTTGAATTTTATTAGGAATAATCTACCTGAGTTATAATTACTACAAATGTTAATTCAAAGAGTCAGATAATTTCCATCCGGGAAATTTAATAATACTACTGATGAAAGTTATGATAATGACAATGATGTTCATAAAAATATTACTAATAATCGTGACATTGATAATGATAATGATGATACATATTTTAATCGTCTAGCAATTTTTCTGAAAGAATAGCCTCAGAGAGTTTCGCAGATATTCAAAACTAAAAAATGCCGACTTTACAGATTTGACCTCGAAATTAATCCATCACAAATCTAGTAGGGTAAATTAGAAACGATGCCGTAAACCTTTTAAGAATACTGAATAAAATAAACAATAATTTTTACACTTCTTAATCATTAATGTACGCTTCTTAAGAGGAGGTTTATAAGTTCTGTTTACAATAGGCGGTTTCTGCTCGAAAGGAGCACTAAAAGAGATAGAGTCTTTAAAAGCCACATGCTCACAATGACAAATACACGCCCTATTTTGTTAAAATCATTTCAGACTAGCTATTGAAGGCAAGTAAAACAAAAGTGACGAGAATACATTAAAAGAATCTCCATTAACCTTCATGATACATACTGCTTAAAATGTTGTTATTGCAAGCTGCACATGTTCTGAAAGACACAGCTTTTAATTCTATCGAAGCCTGGACTTTTTGAGGTCTCTTTTAATAGGAGCTTTAGATTTCAACATTGTCATAATCTTAAATCTGGTACTTCACTTGCCGGGCAATGGACCTACTCCTAACCCCTAACTTTTAGTTCATTCAGTATCATTATTATCGTCATCACTTTCATTATTGTTATTGACATTATAATAAATATTTTATTTTCATTACCGTTATCAGTATTGTTATGTTCAATAATCCTTTTTTTCTCATTAAAAAACATACACAAAGGTATATTAGCTATACTTCTCTACTTGCTGTGCTAGTTTCTGTTCCTTTCCCTCGATATTTGCAAGGAGTTCGTCATTTCTACCGAGAAATGAAAACCAATTATTCCATCAGTAAGAGTCTGTCAAACATGTTTGTATTCGCAAGTGCGTATCCAAGTAATTTACTTTCCATCTAAACATATAACTGATGTATTTAAATGTGTTAATGACGCCCAAAAAATATAAATCTACCAAATGAAGCAGAAAACGTTCTTAAAAACGATACGTGATACTTTTTTTTCATTTCACCCATAAGCTCTTTTAAAGCTTCCATTTTTTCCCCTTATTGAAATAACTTGGTGTTAGAAAAGTACACAATACTCGATTAGTAGCTAAATACGTGTTAAAAGTAGTTAATAATACCTCCAGCAGCTACAGAGAGTGGTTGCAGTAGCAGCGGCAGTAACAGCAGTGGTAGTAATAGTATTAGTAGATGTATTAGTAGTAATAGCATTATTAGAATTAGCAGAAGTAATATCATATGAAGCAATAGCAGTGGCAGTTGCGATGGTTGTAACAGTGGCGGTTAAAGTGGCATTGGTTGTAGTAGCAGCGGTTGCAGTATCAGCAGTGGCAGGAATGATAGTAGTTGAGGTGGTAGTAGTAGATAGTAGTAATCGTGATAGTAGTAGTAGTGATAACGGTAATGGTGTTGTTTGTGGATAACGGTGATATTAGTAGTTATAGAAACCAATCCCTTGCCTAATCCCAGTCCGTGCAGCTATCCTTAAATAGTTTAACCTTCGTGCAGGGTATGCCAATGACAAAGTGTTTCTCAAGTTCACAAGTGATCACAAGTAACGTTACGTTTTGAATGCTGTTTTGCCGTATTCCCAAATCTTCAGGTAAATGTCCAGTTTCATCGTTTTATTCGTATTTTTGTCTATAACATTCCTTTTAAAAACCACTGGAAAGGATATATATTGTTAGAAGTTCGATTCGTCCAGAATTAAACTTCTCCAAGTCCTAAAGTTATTGCAGATGCGTTGATTATAATAGTGATGGTGGTAGTAGTGAGGGTATTAGTAATGGTGGTTCTAGTAATGGTGATAGTAGTTTTGATGATAATAGTGACGGTGTTGGTAGCAGAAGACGTGATAGTAGTAATGGTGATAGTAGTAGTGATAGCAGTGGTGGTGGTAGAAGTAGTGGTAGTAGTATTGGTGATAAAAATAGTGGTGATAGTAGTAGTGGTGCTAGTTGTAGAGGTGGAAATAAACGTGATGACAGTAGTAGTGGTGGTGGAAGTAATGATGCTTGAAGTGGTGGTGTTAGAAGAAGTGGTGATAGTAGTAAAGATCGTAATAGTGGTGCTGATAGTAGCAGACATGGTAGTGGCGGTGCTTGCAGTATAAGTTATTTTAGTAGAGGTGGTAGTGTTGTTCGTAGTAGTAGTAGAGGTAGTGATGGTGGTGGTGGCAGAAGTGGTGGAGGCATTAGTAGTGGTGGTAGTAGCAGTGGTGTTGGTGGTAATATTGAAAATAGTAATGGTGAAATTAGTAGTGTTAGTAGTAGTTGTGGTAGTAGTAACGGTGGTAGTAATGTTGATGCTGGTAGTTTAGGTGTTAGTAAAGATGGTAATAGTAGCATTGGTAGTAGTAGAAGTGGTAGAAGTAGTATTGGTTATAGAAGTGGTTGTAAAAGTACGAGAACACGATTGACCTCCATTCTATGGTAATCTTGAATGTCACATGTAACGCTAAAAGAAAGTCGCGCACTTAATATTTGCGACAACTGTTCCTTCTTAACTTAGCTTAGGTTCGAGAAAACAGTGTTTACTGATAAAAAATATGGAACCCTGTGTGATTACTAATGAGGTAAGAATTCCGTGTGGTAAGCAGAATATCAGTTAAGGCATGCGGGTATTTGCTAAGAATAAGTGGATAATTCTGAATCAAAATGGCAATACAACTGGATTATTTAAATAGTCAGAAATACACTTTGCTACTTCTTTCTTCCCATGGTGAAAGAAAAGCTACGGTAAATTAGAGAGGGCTTTCGAATTGCGGTATGCATGTGACCAGGAACACCGCTTGTGTGGAAAATCGTACATACCTGATTTTCACCTCCTTCAGCTCTTCGTCTTTAATTTCCAAAAGAGCTTTGCACTTTTCTTTCAGTTCTTTCTGCCTGAAAAAAGAATGCAAGAAACAAAACTGAGCAGGCGGCGAAACAAGTAGTGGTGGATAAAGCGGTAAAAAATCAAATAATTCTATTCTTTATGAGTTTAAGTTGCACAGTCCCAAGTTGTCTTGGTTTTGGATGGGAGATGTTATTAACCCTCCGACGTACACGCAAACATTCTCAAACCCCCACCGTGATACAAGGAGGGAGTGGGGCGAAGGGGGTTTGGAACCCCCTTTAGCGTTTTCGTTAGGTTACGCTGCAAGAGTGTTATTTCAAATAGATGGCCTGTTATGTCGTCTACAAGAAGCTTTTTATTCTTATTGGATACATATGCAAGTGGCGCTGTTGGGTGCGGACTTTCTCAGATTTTTTACTCTTCCAAAATTGTCAAAAGAACAGTAGCTATCGAACTTAAGAAAAGACACTCAAAAGATAATATTTTTACTATACTTCCTTTTTCAGCACTATAAGCTTTAGTTCTTTTGTAGCTCATCATGCTCATTTCAAACCCTAACCCACACCTCACCTGCCATATAATAACTCCTACATCTATAGGCCGATTTTCACTTAATTCACAGCAAATATCTCTTCAATTTAAACGAACAGTTAAGAAAGTGGACAGTTACCCTGATCAAGAGATTATACATCATAATTATATTATTGGGTCGAATGTGGTACACTTTGAAAATAGTAGTAATAAAACTAAACCAGTGAGTAGCACTCTGCGAACAGTTGTTGTAAAACTTGCCTTAATTTCCAACGCGTTTCGTCGAATTGCCACAGACTTTTTCAGGAAGTTTTACAAGTAAATACTAAATGCCTGTATTCATAAATCATTGTTATTTTATTAAGTTATTCTTAAAGGTCCTGAAATAAGCGTGAGAGCGGTTTTTATGAAATTTTTTGGCTAACAAACAACACTCATACCTTTCTACGCGATTTAACACCCTTCTAAGATTAATAAAAAGGAAAGTTTCCGAATGATTAGCCTAATCTGAGCGTCCAAATGTCTCTAAGTGGGAAACAAAAGCGTGCACAAAAGCCTACAAATGCTACAAAGTTACTGTGCTCACATGAAACAGTGGTGCACCGTGATTTTGCGGGGACATTGAACAGAGTCTTTCTCTTGTAATAAGATTAGTGGGCTGAGCCCGGCATCTGCAAAACTAGGTAAGTTCCATGTTGTCTATCCACTTACATCTGAGTATGTTTCATTATTTCCTCCTCCTTGTTTTCGAGTTCCTTGAGAAGAGTGTCATTTCTGTGAGAAGAGATTCAAAAACAGAACGTCTTACTATGATTTCGTAAAGTTAAAGTTTATGTAGATATGGTAACCCTCTCAAATTGGCAGAAGCATAAAAGTACCTAAAATTTAGTTTTCTGTACCACCAGAATTAATTCTAAGCGCCCAAAATACACACTGGCGAGATTTCTCTGCAACCCAATTACATATTTCCACCGAAACAATCAAAATTCCTCTTTCGATGTTTTAGCTGAATATAGACTTGAAAAAATAGACGGCTCTGATTATTTGCCTCTGAAGCAATCGATATTTTAAAATGATCAAAAAATGTGTCTGCTTTCACCAATGGCAAGAAAAGTGCTAAGAATAACTGTTTTAACATCTAAATTGGCATGCAAACCTAGATTTATGATCTGCAAGATTCTTGTTGTAGTCTTCATAAATTTTCTGGATATAGTCACTTTTCTTCAACAACCTTTAAGACAAGACAAAGTATGAGTGAAATCCTTTTTGTAGGCGTGAAATCTGAAGTAAAATCCGCTTTAAATAGGCTCAACACGAATTGACTTCAAACGTGTCAGATTTTTGCAGTGGACGACTGCAGCCTCGTCGAAGAGAATTGTCATCAAGATTCCTGTACAACTCTTGAGATGCCCATTAAGTAAAAAATTAACAAAAACGGAAGCTAGAACTGGAATACAAGACTCAATCTTTGTTTATTCCAAGCCGATTCTACTGATACAATCAGACGGTTGATATAGACTTACTTTTCTTTCATTGTCTGTATTTCGCGTGACAATTTATCGACCTCCTTCTGATGTTCATTTTTAAGGACCTCCATTCTACCAATAAAGAATTAAAGGTCTCATTTTAGATAAAAAATCACCCACTGATAACAAGTTATTATTTGTGGGTAAATTATTGACACTGAAAAATTATCAATGATTATTAAACTATCGCTTCATCACGGAAAATCCTCTCTTGCACTTTAATGGTTCAGTCCTTAATCATCAGTTTGTCTCTTCTGAAATGGGCTTCAGAGTCACTCTAAATTTACAAAATGTTCAAAAGGTTTAGCTTTTAGTGAGCACTCACTTTTCCTCTTGTTCTCTCGCTATTTCTACAATCTGCCTTTCCTTCTTCTCCTGTTCACTTTCCAGTTTCGCGATTCTGACGATAAGAAAACAGAATTTCTAACAAGTCCAGTCAAAGAAAAGAACTAAACGAGAAGAAATTCATGAAAAAGCTATCATTAGATTGAACTCAATCTATAAATTACAAAGCAAAAAATATTAATCTTGCGCTAATATCGCAATAAATATTATTTTCATGCATCAAAACAACATCACTGGGGTATTTTCTTTTGCCTCACATTGCAATTTCTTCCAAAGTGAATCGTATCGTTTCGGTCGAGTGATTGACTGGTTAGTGTCATAGGGAGGATAACGTTCCATTGTGACTGGTTGAGCAGAGAGGTGTTTCTGGGCGATCGCAACCTTTTTCTTATAATTTTTGAAGAGGGATGAAAGAATATACCAAGTTTATCATCATTTCTAACTCTGTGGATACTCACGTTGTTTGCTGACTCTTCGAATGAGGATACTTTAGTGATCAAAGTGCGAACAAAACGCAAAAAGAGGCCGAAAACTTGAAGTTTGAGATTTGATTTACTGAAGATCAACATGTGCACATGAGACAACAAACCTTGAAAGTTAGTCATAAAATGTTAATGACTTACTTCTATGAATCACGAAGTTTTATTTGATGTAACAACCGTATCTCTAGTACTAATGTTATCTTATTTTTCTTTACCCGACATTGACCTTTTTTGTTTTGATAAACGAGACTTTTGAAACTAAACGTAAACTTTTTTCTTTCGCTTAAATAAAGTACATTGCACTAGCAGTTGAAGCTCTACGAAACGCTCACAGGAAAGTGAGTGCTTCAAATAATCAACGATAACTTGAGATAACAATGACACAATTAAGGTACTATCCAATAGGTCTATACTCTTCAACAAGCCTCTTGCATCCTTCATAAAAAAGACATCATCGACATAGATCGCCCAAACAATCATAAAACAAGACTAGAAGTCGTTTGCATACTCTTTTGCCTTTTGAAAATCACTTCCTTCCGTACACCATACAACAATTTTGAGACGTCAACGTTTTCATCTAAGTTACAGAGGGAAAAATAATAAGAAAGGTTCTGTCAAATACTCGATCAGTTGTTGTTTTTCCGACGTATTTTCCTGCTTCTCGAAACCGACGCAGGCGCATACCAGCGGTTACTCGCATCAAATGAACAAAACATGCGCAGATAAAATGCCTTTCTACTTACTGATTGGTTTTTAAACTCATGTCGGACTTATACTCTAGTAAATAAAAAATCCTCGCAGATGAGCTTCAATTATTAAAATTGAAGAAAAAAGCCTGAAGAAATTTAAGCTACGACAGGATTCGAACCCGTAATACCCGGATACTAGTTGGGGCTGCTAGCAAGAAAACTGCATGTCAGAATATTGCAGATTTTGAGCTGCTCTTTGTTCCCTTGAAGGAATCTGATCAAAATCAAAGTCAGATAAGAGAAAACAGATCACCATAATATTTACCCATAATCGCAATCATTTTAAGGCCACATTAAGTTTCCGAATATCAACAAGTTCCTCTACTAGATGTGAAGCAAAGGGCTAAAAACTGCCAAAACAAAAAGTCTTTTGACTCATAAGGTTATTAGCACCAAACAGATGTACATCAATATGTCTAATTTCAGCAAGTACGTTGAGTCTAGAACTTGAATAAGAGTCTTAAATAAATCCAGAGAGATAATGGTTGGTGGAGGGCCAATATGGAGGATTTAGTCTATTACGTTCACACTCTTTTAGCCGTTTTGACTCGTGCTGTCTCAAATTCAATCTATAGCAGTGAAACGTTATGAAAATACTGTGAAATGTAAATTAAATCATATTATTTGAGAATTTACCTTTCTTCTAGCTCTTTAATTTTCTCCTTTGCCTCTTTTTCTTTCTTCTTCATTTCTTCTTTGAGTGTCTTATTTCTGAAAAAAGAAAGAGCTTATTCATATACCGTACAATTATGATTCAAACCAACTTAAATCGCACTCTTCATATTGAATCTTAAAACTGGGTCGTATGTGACACAGTTTAAAGAAATAATAATAAAACCAAAACAGTAAGCAGTCATCTGCGAACAGCTGCTGAACAATTTCCCTTAATTTCCGAAGTGTTTCGTCGAATTGTCACAGACTTCTCCGTAGAGTTTTACAAGTAAACACTAAACACCTGTATTTATAAGCCATTGCATTTTAGTAAGTTATTCTTAAAGCTCCTGAAATTGAAATTGTTTGACTAACGCACAACGCTCATAAAGAAAATAGGTTTGCAATTATTAGCCTAAACTGGAGAAACAAAAGCGTGTACAAAAGCCTAGAAATACTTCAAAGTAAGAATGTCACGCCACCTTCAATTACACTCTGCTAACGTGAAACGGTGATCATGTGACCCCAGAGATACACATTAGAACGAGGGCTGCATGGGCAAGAGTTCCAGCTATAAATTAATTTTTTTTTTTAAGCGTACTGACTGTGATTTTGCTGGGACATCGAACAGTCTTTCTCTTGTATTAAGATTCGTGGGTTCAGCACGGTATCTTTAAATCTAGGTAAGTTACATTTTGTCTATCCACTTACATCTGAGTATATTTCGTTATTTTCTCCTCCATGTTTTCGAGTTCCTTGAGAAGAGTATCATTTCTGTGAGAAGGGATTTAAAAGCAGACCATCTCACTCTGATCTCGTGTGTTTTTTAACGTTTATCGGTACATATAGCAATCCTCTGTTATAAGCAAAATGCTCAAATGTACTCACTATTGACTCGATGTAGTTGCCTACCAAACATTTTCTGTAACACCAAATTTAATTCTAAGTGCACAAAATACACACTGGCTAGATTTCTCTGCAACCCAATTACATATTTCCACCCAAACAATTAAAATTCCTCTTTCGATGTTTTAGCTTAATATAGACTCTTGAAAAAATAGATGGCTCCTGATTATTTGCCTCTGTAACAATAGCTATCTGATAATGATCAATATTCAACAGTACTCATTTCGCTTTGTGCCTGCGTTTACCAATGGCTAGAAAAGAATAACTATTTTAACAGCTAACTTGGCATTCAAGCTTAGATTTATGTTTTAATCTTCATAAATTTTTTGGATATAGCCACTTTTCTTCCATAACCTTTGAGATAAGTCAAGGAATGAGTGAAATCCTGTTTTTAGGCGTGAAATCTGATGTAAGATCTGCTTTAAATAGACTCAACAGAAATTGACCTCAAACGCGTCAAGATTTTGCGGTGGACGACTGCGGCCTCTTCCAAGAAAATTGTCATCAAGAACCCTGTCCAACTCTAGAGATACCGGTTAAGTAAAATCGATGTTTATGTGTAAAAAATGTAATTAACAAAAAGGAAGCTAGAACTGGAATACAAGATTCGATTTTTGTTTATTCCAAACCGATTCTACTGATTCAATCAGGCAGTTAATGCAGACTTAGCAGGTAATTTAGTGTTAACAACTGGGTTGACAACGTAAATTAGCCACCGTAAAGGGTTAGCTTTTTTACCCTTTACGGTGGCTAATTTACGTTTTCAACCCAGTTGTTAACACTAAATTACCTGCTATACTCTCCCACCGACGCAGCACCACAGTTTCTTTAGAAACTTACCCCTTTATTCATAATGCAGACTTACCTTTCTTTCATTGTCTGTATTTCGCGTAACAATTTATCGACCTCCTTCTGATGTTCATTTGTCAGGCCTTCAGTTCTAACAATAAAGAATTACAGATCTCATTTTAAATAAAAATCACTCACTGATAACGAGTTAACCAAAGAAGACAAACAGATTAATCAATTTCATAAAGAGAGTCTTTATCTGCCGTCAAAAATCGCCATCATGGCATGTGGATAAATTATTTACACCGAAGAATTACCAATGACTGCTAAACTATCCCCTCATCACGTAAACTCCTCCCTTGTACTAAATCATCAGCTTGCACCCCTAAATCATCAGCTTTTCTCTTCTGGGAAGGGCTTCAGAGTCACCCAAACTTACGAAATGTTCAAAATCCTGCTAACAAGGTTTAGCTTCCAGTTAGCACTCACTTTTCCTCTACCTCTCTTGCTATTTCTACCATCTGCCTTTCCTTCTTCTCCTGCTCACCTTCGAGCAACACAATTCTGACGACAAGGAAACAGAAATTTTGATAAATCTAAGACAAAGAAAAGCACTAAGCAAGAAGAAATTCGTGGAAAAGCTATCATCAGATTGAACTCGATATGCAAATTACAAAGCAAAATCTTGCACTAATATTGTAATAAGTATTATTTTCATTCATGAAAACATCACGGGAGTATTATTTTTTGCCTCACAATGTAATTTCTTCCCAACTGAACAAGTGAGTCGTGACGTTTCGGTCGAGTGATTGACTAATTTAGTAGCACCTAAGGGAGGATAACGCTCCATTGTGACTGGTTAATCAGAGAGGCATTTTGTCCGCGCATGCGCGAGATTAATTAAAATGTTTCCCGTTCAACGTTATTCTCATGTTTTTAGCGCGCTTCCGCGGATTTTCAACAAGGCTATCGACATATTTCTCTAACAATTTTTGAAGAGGGATGAAAGAATATGCCAAGTTTACCACCATTTCTGACTCTTTGGAAACTCATGGTGCTTGCTGGCTCTTCAGATGAGGATACTTTAGTGATCAAAGTGCGAACAAAATGCGAAAAAATGCCGAAAACTTGAAGCTTGAGATTTGATTTACTGAAGATCAACATGTGCACATGAGACTACAAACCTTGAAAGTTAGTCATAAGATGTTAATGTCTTACTTCTATGAATCACGAAGTTTTATTTAGAGACACCGTGAGATATTTGCTACGATAAAAGAAGATAATTTAGACTTTGATCATATTTTACCTCAATTTCAAAGAAAAATTGCGTTCAGTTCGCTTTGGCCCCCAAGATTCAAATCACTTCAAATATCATTGTCTCTTTTTCTCTTTGTATTCACATAGGACACAAGGCTTTAAAAAATGTTCCACGGCTTCAGGATTGCGTTCGTCTTACTACAACCTTCGGTGAATTCGTTTTTGGAATGTTTATGTGGATTTTCCAAGTCATGGCTCACAACTGTTTTGGCTCTCCAAGTCTATTGTATGTGGTATGTAGGCATGTGTTTTAATAACGGTTAAAGTCTCGCCTCAATCATCTCCGGTTTTGTTTTTGTTTTTTTTCGCTGTGTTCTATTTGCCTATTTAGGCTGAAAGTGCTGACAGGAGGAAAAACTAATCAGTAGAATTGTCAGTTCATTGTTTATTTAGCTATCGGTCTAACCAGTTCATTTACCTCAAAAAAAAATGCGTGGGCTTTGTCTCATGGGTTTAAACTGGAACAGTTTTTTTCGTGTTCGTGTGTTATTTTAAACGAATGGCTCAAGTCTCATTCTGTTTTGTTTATTTCAGTAGAATGCTTCTTTCCTGCAAAATGACTTTTGAGTCGAAGTGCACTATGAAGCTCTCGGATTAATATAATGAAATTTTCTCTTCTTCTCAAAATATGAGAGTAGGGATAAGAAATTGATAATTACTCAAAGGAATGGAACTCTTTGATTCTTTGAATATTGACTACACTATTTCTGTCATATTTTAAAACGAATATTAGGCTTAAATGTATTCAAACCAGTTTGACTTGCATTTCACTTTGCTAGAAATGTCTTGATTTTTCAATTTTTATTTCTTCAATAGTTAAGATTGATGATAGGAATTAACTCTTATGTTCCCTGCTTTTTAGGGAGATGTGAAGTGACGACAATACATAGAGTTGGTACTATTGACGGAACGGATAGCTGTGGGATTTACTGTGGCAAGCTGCTATTTAGGAAATTGTTATTAGTACCAGAAGCTTACTACTGGTTTAAATTATCAGTCTTTTGCTCTCTCCACGCAACTTGCCTTAACTTAATTAATTATTACTGGTCACACTTTTAGGCTCATAGGGCAACAGAGCACACCCCTCCACTCATGGTGCAATTCTCGATCATCTGTTGAGGCTTAGGGGTACTTTGACCAAAATTAAGTCTTTAAATTTTGATGAAGTTTGTCGCATCATTGACCATAACTGATGATATTTCCGAGACTAATGATTCAAAAAAGGTCTCTTTACTCTGATAAAGTCTATAACTGTTCCTCTATTTCTAAACAAGCTCTCCTTTGATTTGACGACCATATCTCTAGTAGAAACGTTGTCTTACCTTTCTTTACTCGACATTGACCTTTTTTGTTTTCATAATCGGCCCGGCCGGTTGTGATTCATGCCAAAAAAAAAACATTTCAAACAAAACACAAATTTCTGAAAACTTTCATATTTCGCTCAAATTAAAGTAAATTGCACTAGCAGTGGAGGCTCTACAAAACGCTCACAGGAAGTGAGTGCTTCAAACAATCAACGGTAACTTGAGATAGCGATGACACGATTAAAGTACTATCCAATAGGTCTATGCTCTTCAACAAGCCTCTCGCGTCCTTCATAAATTAATAACATCATCGACATTGATCGCCCAAACAATTATAAAACAAGACTAGAAGTCGTTTGCATACTCTTTTGCCTTTTGAAAATCACTTCCTTCCTCACACCACACAACAATTTTAAGACTTTGACGCTTCCATCTAAGTTACAGAGGGAAACATGCATACTCGATCCATTGTTGTTTTCCGACGTATTTTCCTGCTTCTCTTTTAGTCTTTAACGGGAAACCGACGCAGGCGCATACCAGCGGTTACTCGCATCAAACAAAAAATGTACAAAACATGCGCAGACAATATGCCTTTCTACTGACTGGTTGGTTTTTAACAGCAAATCATGTTGGACTAATACCCTAGTCAATAAAAATTAAAATCCTCGCCGGTGAGCTATAGTAATTGGAGAAAAGAAGCCTAGTTGGGTGCTACTAGTCGGGTGCTACTAGCAAGAAAACTGCATGTGAGAGTATTGCAAATTTTGAACTGTTCTTTGTTCCCGTGAAGGAATCTGATCAAAATCAAAGTCAGATAAGAGATCAGAGATCACCTTAATGGTAACCCATAATCACAATCATTTTAAGGCCCCATTAAGTTTTCTAGTATCAACAAGTTCTACAAGATATATAGTAACTGAGTCTATTGACTTATAAATATGTCTGATTACGGAAAGTACGTCGAGTCTAGAACGTGAATAAAAGTGTTAAATAAACTTGGAGAGATGATTTTTGGTGGAAGGCCAATATGGAGGATTTTAGTCTATTACGTTCATACTCTTTTGGCCGTTAATATTAGAATCGTTGCCCCTGTACTATCTCAAGTTCAATTTATAGCAGTGAAACGTTATGAAAATGCAGTGAAATGTAAAAAAAAATTTAAATTACATAATTTGAGAATTTACCTTTCCTCTCGCTCTTTAATTTTGTCCTCTGCCTCTTTTTCCTTCTTCTTCAATTCTTCTTTGAGTTTCAGATTCCTAAGAAAAAAAAGAACTTATTCATACACCTTACAATTATGCTTCAAACCAACTTAAACTGCACTCTTCACATGGACTCTTAAAAATGGGTCGTTTGTGGCACAGTTTAAAGAAATAATAGTAAAACTAAACCAGTAAGCAGCCCTCTACGAATAGTTGTTGCAAAACTTGCTTTAATTTCCGACGCGTTTCGTCGAATTGTCATAGACTTCTCCAGAGAGTTTTACAAGTAAACACTAAACACCTGTATTTATAAGCCATTGCATTTTAGTAAGTTTACTCGTAAAGGTCCTGAAACAAGCGTGAGAGTGATTTTATAATTGTTTGTTACACAACGCTTGTACCTTTCTACGCGATTTAACACCTGATAAGGTGAATAAACATAAGCATGCTATGCATGTAAGAGTTTTTTTTTTTGGGTTGGGTACATTTTTACAAACGGAAAGAAGAGCATTAACGCGGAAAACAACGAAAATGTCGAAGTAACTTACACTCAGTTATTTTGTGGTAGAATGTGTGTGTTGTGCGAATAACTGTCACCAAAAATAAACTGTATTGGTGTCACGGATACCTGTTAGTACAAAATGCAGACTGCAGACTGCAGACCGGATACAAAATGTAGACTAGGTACAAAATATAGACTACAGATGGCAGAGTGGGTACAAAACGCAGACTGTGAGTCTAAAGAGTTTTTTCGTCTGGTAGGTAATAACATGTCATGTTATAGCTTACCGTTGCGTCACGCAATCGCTTTTCCGCGATCGGCTTTCACGATTATTTGCACTATTGTGGAATATTCCTGGCCCGTTTCTTGATCAAAATCGATCTTAATATAATTTCAAGTCTTCTTATAGCCTTCTCACTTTGCGCACGAGTTGGTTGGTGTGATGTCTGCACAGATTTTACCAACTTAATAAAAGTAGATGTAGATGTAGATGTAATGTGCGATATTCGAGATACAATTGACAGCTTTGCACGTCGTCTGTGTTATTATCTGTTTAAGCGGTATGTGTTTATTTTGTTGACAAAAATGCGGTCCGAGACCAAAATTATTCCTTCCACTTGAAATATTTTCAACGTTAGTAGATCACGTCATATTAACTTACCTCAGTAAATCATTCATTCCAGATAACAAAATCAATTCGTCCTTGACCAAACACAAACAAACCCACAAGATCACTTTTTCCAGGCATAGAAAACATACACAGAATCGTCCATAGTTAATTTTAATCACACATTCATCTAGAGATAGCACCGAGCAAACCAATCCAGAAAAATATAATCGGCACACTCAGCAAATCATGAATCTTGCAACACAGCTTGCCGTAAGAGAAGTGCCTAAATCAAAATGTTTGGTGCAATTCATCAACACTTAGAGCAATATCTGATCTGATTCAAAATTTTTCTACCCTCTATCGTCGTGAAGGAACAACAACCATGATCGTGCTACAGTGCACAGAACTCCATTTTCTCTCGAACAACTATCCACCATTTTCACAGCACGCGTAACACGGTTACTACAGGTAATCTGATATCTTTCATCTGTCCAGTAGTATCGCATTTCTCATAAAGCGTCGTAAAATACACGTTAAAAGTACAGAAAATCAAATATTTCTCATTGTATAAGATAATTCCATTTTACGAACCGCTCTCTCCGAATCCCCCATTACTTCGTTGAAATTTGAACACCTCTCAAACCAAAGAACAAAGGCGATGCTCTGATTGGTGCGAGATACATACCCTTATACGACGTCTAATTGGTGCGAGATACATACCCCAAACGATCTGATTGGTGCAAACAACATACCACTCTTTGAACGCTAACGTAGAGTTTTTCTGTTTTTTTTTTTTTTGTTTTTTTTGTTTTTTTTTCATAACTCAAAAAGGAAAGTTTCGCAATGATTAGCCAAATCCGAGGATTTGGATATCTTTTAGTGGGAAAACAAAGCGTGTACTCTACATAACTAGGTGAGTTACATTTTGTCTATTAACTTACATCTGAGTATATTTCGTGATTTCCTCCTCCTTTTCCTTAAGAAGAGTGTCATTTCTGTGAAAAGAGATTCAAAAGCAAAACAACTCACTCTGATCTTGTGTGTTTTTGTAAATTTTATCGGTAGACATTGTAATCCTCTCAAATGGGCAGACGCTTTAATGTACTCACCATTGTCCCGATTTAGTTGCCTACTAAAAATTTAACCTTTCTGTAATACCAGAATTAATTCTAAGCGCAAAAAATTCACACTAGCGAGATTTCTCTGCGACCCAATTACATATTTCCACCCGGAAATAATCAAAATTCCTCTTTCGATGTTTTAGCTGAATACAGACTCTTGAAAAAAAAGATGGCTCTTATTATTTGCCTCTGGAGCAGTAGATATTTTAAAGGATCAATATTGAACAGTACTCACTTCGCTTTGGAACTTCTTTTATCAATGGCAAGAAAAATGCTAAGAATAACTGTTTTTAAATCTGATTTGCCATTCAAGCCTGGATTTGTGATCTGCAAGATCCTTGTTGTAGTCCTTATACATTTTCTGTATATAGTTACTTTTCTTCAGTAACTTTAAGATCAGTCAAGATACGATTGAAATCCTGTTTTTAGGCGTGAAAACTGACGTAAGATCCGCTTTAAATAGACTCAACACAAATTGACCTCAAAAGCGTCAAGATTTTGCGATGGACAACTACAGCCTAAACGAAGAGTATTGTCATCAAGAACCCTGTCCAACTTTAGAATACCGGTCAAGTAAAATCGATGTTAATGAGTAAAAAATGTACATTAACAAAAAAGGAAGCTAGAACTGGAATACAAGACTCAATTTTTGTTTATTCCAAGCCGATTCTACAGATTCAATCTGGCGGTTGATATAGACTTACTTTTCTTTCATTGCCTGTATTTCGCGTAACAATTTATCGACCTCTTTCTGATGTTCATTTGTCAGGTCTTCAGTTCTAGCAATAAAGAATTAAAGATCTCATTTCAGATAAAAAAAGATTAATCGCTGATAAAGAGTTAACCAGCGAAGACATAAACAGATTAATCAACTTCATAAATACAGTATTTATCTGCTGTCTAAGAATTACCATTATCATTTACATGTAAATCATTTACATTGTAAATTATTTACACCAATAAATTACCAATGACTCTTAAACTATCCCTTCATCACGGAAAATCCTTTCTTCTACAGTAAGATTTCAGTCCTAAGTTATTAGCTCGTCTCTTCTGGAAAGGGTTTCAGAGTCACCCTAAATTTACGAAACGTTCAAAATCCCGCCAACAAGGTTTAGCTTCTAGTGAGCACTCACTTTTCCTTTTCTTCTCTCGTTATTTCTATAATCTGCCTTTCCTTCTTCTCCTGTTCACTTTCGAGTCTCGCGATTCTGACGATAAGCAAACTTGATAAGTCAAGTCAAGGAAAAGCACTAAACGAGAAGGAATTCATGGAAAAGCTATCTTCAGATTGAACTAAATATGCAAATTACAAAGCAAAATCTTATACCGTAGTAAATATTATTGTCATTTATTAAAAAAACATCTCGAGAGTTTCAATGGAATTTCTTCCCACGTGAATCGAGACGTTTTGGTCGAGTGATTGACTGGTTTGGTGTCATCTAAGTAATGATAACGTTCCGTTGTGACTGGTTGAGCAGAGAGGCTTTTTGTCCGCGAGTGCGCAAAATTAATTCAAATTTTGCCCGTTCGGCGCCGTTCTGATGTTTTCAGCGCATTTCCACGGGTTTTCAACTGGGCTATCCCCACCTTTATCTCATAATTTTGGAGGAGGGATGACAGAACATGCCAAGTTTACCACCATCTCTAACTCTGTGGAAACTTGTGGCGGAATGATTAGCCTAATCTGAGCATCTGAATGTCTTTTAGTTGGGAAACAAAAACGTGTACAAAAGCTTAGAAATGCTACAAAGTAAGAATGTCACGCACCTTCAATTACGCTCTGCTCACGTGAAACGGTGGTCATGTGACCCCACAGATACACATTAGAACAAGTGCTGCTGGGGCGAGGATTCCAGCCATAAATCAATGTTTGTTTTAACTGCACAGTGATTTTGCGTGGACGTTGAACAGAGTATTAAGATTCGTGGGGCGAGCGCGGCATCTATAAAACTAGGTGAGTTACAATTTGCCTTTTAACTTACATCTGAGTATACTTCTCGATTTCCTCCTCCCTCCTTTCAAGTTCCTTAAGAAGAGCGTCATTTCTATGAAAAAAGATTCAAAAGCAGAACAACTCACTCGAGCTCTAATCTCGTGTGTTTGTAAATTTGAAAAGTACATATGGTGACCCTCTCAAATGGGCAGGAGCTCATATGTACCAAAAATTTAGGTTTTCTTTATTACCAGAACGAATTCTAAGCGTACAAAATACACACGGGCGAGATTTCTCGGCAACCAAATCACACATTTCCACTGAAACAATCAAAATTTCTCTTTTGATGTTCTAGCTGAATACGGACTCTTGGAAAAAACAAAAGGCTGTGATTATTTGCCTCTGGAGCAGCAGATATATTTAAATGATCTATATTTAACAGTACTCGTTTCGCTTTGTGCCTGCGTTTACCAATGGCAAGAAAAATACCAAAAATTATTGTTTTAACATCAGACTTGGCATTCAAACCTGGATTTATGATCGGCAAGATTCTTGTTGTAATCCTCATACATTTTCTGGATATAGTCACTTTTCTTCAATAACCTTTAAGATAAGACAAAGAATAAGTGAAATCCTTTTTGTAGGCGTGAAATCTGATGTAAAATCCGCTTTAAATAGACTCAACACAAATTGACTTCAAACGCGTCAAGATTTTGCGGTGGACGACTGCAGCTTCGTCGAAGAAAATTGTCATCAAGAATCATGTCCAACTCTAGAGATACTCCTTTAGCAAAAATTAACAAAAACGGAAGCTAAAACTAAAATACAAGACTCAATTTTTGTTTTTTCCGAGCCGATTCTACTGATTCAATCAGACGGTTGATATAGACTTACTTTTCTTTCATTGCCTGTATTTCGCGTAACAATTTATCGACCTCCTTCTGATGTTCATTTGTCAGGTCTTCAGTTCTAGCAATAAAGAATTAAAGATCTCATTTCGATTACTCACTGATAACGAGTTAACCAAAGACGACTTAAACATATCAATCAACTTCAAAAATACAGTGTTTATCTAATGTCTAAAAATCACCATTATCATTTGTAGGCAAATTATTTACACCGAACAATTACCAATGACTCTTTAACTATCCATTCATCATGGAAAATCCTCCCCTTACCGATAGTTTTCAGTCGTAAATTGAAGGCTCGTCTCTTCTGTAAAGGGCTTCAGAGTCAACTTAAATTTTTTAAACGTTCAAAATCCTGTCAACAAGGTTTAGCTTCTAGTGAGCACTCACTTTTCCTTTTCTTCTCTCGTTATTTCTATAATCTGCCTTTCCTTCTTCTCCTGTTCACTTTCGAGTCTCGCGATTCTGACGATAAGACTTGATAAGTCAAGTCAAAGAAAAGAGCTAAACGAGAAGGGATTCATGGAAAAGCTATCATCAGATTGAACTCAAATGCAAACTACAAACAATATCTTGCGCTTATATCGTATACTCACTGGATTATTATCTTTTGTCACGTGAATCGTGACATTTCAGTCGAGTGATTGACTGGTTTAGTATCACCTAAGGGAGGATAACGCTCCACTGTGACTGGTTGAATAGAGATGAATTTTGTCTGCGTATACGCGAGATTGATTTAAAGTTTGCCCGTTCGGCGCCACTCTGATGTTTTCAGCGCGCTTCCTCGTATTTTCAACTGGGCTATGGCCACCTTTTTCTGATAATTTTGAAGAGGGACGAGAGAATATGCCAAGTTTACCACCATTTCTAACTCTGTGGATACTTATGGTGTTTGCTGACCCTTGGGATGAGGATATTTTAGTGGAAAAAGTGCGAACAAAACGCGTTAAAAGGCCGAAAACTTGAAGTTTGAGATTGGGTTTCCTGAAGATCAAGATGTGCACATGAGACAACAAACGTTGAAAGTTAGTCTTAAGATTTTAATGTCTTACTTTCTTGAATCACGACGCTCTTTTCAGATAAGATTGTGAGATATTTGTTACGATGAAAGAAGATAATTTATAATTTGATTTGATTTTACTTCAACTTTGAAATATAAATTGCGTTAAGTTCGAGGTGCCCCGGAGCTTCTTTTCTTTCTCTTTGTAGTCACATAATACACAACGCTTCAGGATTGCGTTGCTCTTACTACAACCTTTAACGAATTCCTTTTCGGAAGGTTTAGGTGGATTTTCCAAGTAATGGCTCACAACCGTCTTTGGTCTTTTAGTTCTCCAAGTCTGTTGTACATGGGCTTTGTCGCATGAGTTTAAAACTGGTATCGTTTTCTTCATGTTCATGTGTTACTCGAAACGAATAGCTTCAGCTTCATTCTGTCTTGTATGTTTCAGTAGAATGCTTCTTTCTTGTGAAATGACTTTTGAGTCGAAGTGCACTATGAAGCTCGCAGATTAACATAATCAAACTTTCTCAGGTTCTAAAAATATATGAGATTAGGGATAACAAATTGATAATTACCCAAGGGGCTGCAACTCTTTGTTTCTTTGAAATGTTGACTACACTATTCTGTCGTATTTCAAAACGAATTTCAGGCTCATACGTATTCAAACCATTTCGACTTGCATTTCACTTTGTTAGACTTAACTTTTATGTTCTTTGTTGTTTAGGGAGATGTGGAGTGACCCCATGCCAATACGTGGAGTTGGTACTATTGACAGAACGAACTGTGGCAGCTGGTATTCAAAAAATTGTTATCAATACCAAAAGCTTACTACTTGCTTAAATTATCAGTCTTTTGCTCTCTCCACGCAACTTGTCCAATAATTTTCAATTATTACTGGTTATACTTTTGAGCTCATTGGGCAACAGGGTGGTCTCTCTTGCCTTTGTACACACCTCTCCACCCGTGGTGCAATTCTCGATCATCTGTTGAGGCTTAGTGGTAGTTGACCAAAATAAATTCTTCAAATTTTGATGAAATTTGTCACATCCATGACTATAACTGATGATATTTCCGAGACTAATGATTCAAAAAAGGTTTCTTTACTCTGATAAAATCTATAACTATTCCTCCATTTCTAACAAGCTCTCCCTTGATTTGACGACTATATATCAGGTAGAAACGTCATCTTTCTTTGCACACCACACAACAATTTTAAGACTGTAACGCTTCCGTCTAAGGTACAGAGGGAAACATGACAGAAATGTTGTGTCAATTATTCGATCCATTGTTGTTTTACGAAGTACAGTTTTTTCCTGCTTCTCTTCTAGTCTTCAGCAGGAAACCGACACAAGCAAATACCAGCGGTTACTCGCATCAAACAAAAAATTTATAAAACATGCCCGGACAAAATGCCTTTCTACTGACTGGTTGGTTTTTAACACCCAGTCATGTTGGAATTACACTCAAGTAAATAAAAATTCCTCGTAGGTGAGCTACAATTATTGAAATTGAAGAAAAGAAGCCTGAAGAAATTTAAGTTAGGACAGGATTCGAACCCGTGACTCCCGGATGCTAGTTGGGTGCTACTATCTAATGCGCTACAAAACTGAGAGTATGATACACAATCATTTGGCCGTTAAGATTAGACTCGCTGCTCCCGTGCTGTGTCAAATTCAATTTATACTAGTGAGATGGTATGAAAATACAGTGAAATGTAAACAAATTTTAAATTATATAATTTGAGAATTTACCTTTCCTCTTGCTTTGTAATTTTCTCCTTTGCCTCTTTTTCCTTTTTCTTCAATTCTTCTTTGAGTTTCAGATTCCTAAGAAAAGAAAGAGCTTCTTCATATACCGCAAAATTTTATTAAAGCCAACTAAATCGCACTCTTCACATTGTGTCTTCTAATGTAAATCCTAAAGCATCAAAATTGTTTTTGCCAACACTTATTTCTGGAATGCAATTATTAGGCATTCTGACACTAGTATCAGCTAAAGCACCTCTATTTAACAATTTTTGCCGCGTCAAATTTATTTGTGAAATGCAATTTAGGGGTAGCTTAAATACATTTATAATCTATGGAAACAATAACTGCATTAATAACTGAAATTTCAATTTAGAGCCAGGGAATTTATTTGTAACAGTTGTGTTGCCCTTTGCCGTTTTGCTGTTATGGATTTGTCTAGCTTCAAATGTACGTCATTTTACTGGAAACCTTTTGATAAAATTTCACGTTCATGTCTCGAAATCAGATTGGAGATTTTCATTTCAAGTCAAGAATTCTGAATTTCTTTGAGGTTGCAGGAGTGGCACATTCGCTTGGGCAATATACCAATGCATTGGAAATGTCGAAAGTTATTCGAATAACGTGAATTATTCAGTTAGACATAGTCATATCATAGGCATATCAACACTCAGATTGAAAATCTTTAAAGTTTCATTCTTTCAAGATTTTACCCGTTCTTTAAACCACTTTGATGTACCTTTAATTGTGATCTAGTAACCTTAGGCATATCTCTGCTATTCTTCTGAAACTCAGAACTTCTTATCTCAGTGGAGACGAAGAGTAAAACAAACTTTTTTCTTTACTTCTTTGGCTTCCATGCGTAATAAGCAGACAACCAAGGCTACTTACAAACTAGATGTACGGAAGTAGGAACTACGGTTACCGTCATGAGCAAATTTGGTCGGCCAAATGGGTGACCATAGTCTCCTATTTATGGAGCTCCACAAGCAAGTGGCAGTTAAATGAGTCTTAGGAGTGCTAGTTTTGAGGAACACTAACCATGGCAGTTTAGAGGCCAATTTTATAGGTCTTAAAAGTGGCTATTTTACTCATTAGGATATAAATTTAGGTGTTCTCACTCCTCTTCCACCAGTTTTAACTGTTCTTTATTAGCCTCTATTGTATCTTCGTTTTCCTTCAATTCTCTCTCCACGTACCTAATAACACAAATGTAGCGTGAGGAAGCAGATACCGAAATAAAAAGTTTCAGTCTCAATAGAGAGCTTTTTTGTCACGCGCTCTATATTTCAACATGGAAACGAGGCCCAGACCTAAATTGTCCTTTTAGCTCCTGATGGATAAGCGAACGCGACTAAAAATTAAAGGAGACTTCACAGCCAAGTAGATGCGACATATTTGACAAGATAACGATAAGGAATGTCATGTGACCGCTGACGTCGGTATTTTTGTCCTATTCTAATAGAAATATCAAGTAGCTAGCTTATTACCATTACCTTAGTAAATTGATCTTATTTGTATCTGAAATTCCGATATCTTTTTAAATAGTATCTTAACCTTGTCGGGGCAGACTTGCAAACGAGGTAAATATTAAGAGCGGTGTTCCTTTGGTCAAATGCTTAAAATAAAAGCATTCATAAAAAGGTGTCGCATGAAACAAACATTTTTAAGTTTGCGAAACATTTTACGACATTGCTGGTACCCTTTCAGTTCATCCCACTTCAGTTCCAAATGCTCGCGTTACAGTTTGAATTTAACTTTAAAAATTGGTCATCGAATCACGATATAAGACTAACAGAGTCCTGAAAAATTTGAATAGAACATAACAGAAGCACAGGCGGACAGAAGTGGTATTCTTAAGTGTATCCTTGAAGGATTTCTTTTGCTATCCACCTCCCAGCAACACGCGCGGGAATTGCACTGGAAAGTATACTAACGGTTGCAGGAATAAATGAGTCAAAATCATCTCTTTATGCAATATTATATCCTGTTTTAATACATACTAGGTACAATAATGATACACATGAAAAATTACGCGCTTCTGATTAGCTGAAAACGAGTGCATTCTTCATGTAACACGACTGCAAAGTTGTAACACAAACGCAAAAAAATTTTGTTTGTCTTGATTTTCTGGGATGATTTTTTCATGTTAATTATTAATAAGTAATAACATAATTTTGAGTGCAATTTGGTGCATCTAAGCACTTGTATATTTTTCAAGACAACAATTTGGACTCGCCCTACGGGCTCGTGCAATTTTGTTGTCTTTGAAAAATTTACTCGTACTTGTTTACACTAAATTGCACTCGAAGTCATGTTACTACCTATACGTATATATATTTACTATTATCATTCTACTATGGTAAATATTGTTTTGGTTTTATGTGGATTACTTTACTCCCTGCGCAACAAGTTTTTAAATCAGTTCACGATTCTGTATAGAGCAATCTTACGTCGTGATTCGATAACGCATTTGTTAAGTAAAATTCAAACTGTAACATGAGTATTTGCAAGAGGGTTTCGATGGAGTTTAACCGTCAGCAATCAAAGAGGATAGATTTTTACGGTCAACCGTCCAAAATGCAAATCAATATTAACCGTCAAACGGTTTAAAGAATTTGTATACTTTAGTCGCTTGCTACCAAGAGCTTAAGATCTGGAAGAATCCTTCGGATGGTTAACTGGCCTATAATATTAAAAGATGGCTGACTTTATTGATGACTTGTCTTTGTACACACAACTACGCACTGTTTCTGTCCATGGACAAGATCACAACTGTGATCACGCTTAGATCACGTCGAATGTCCTGAAAGCTTTCGATAGCTCTTAGAACAAAAATCATCACTGGTAGTTTTCGCCAGATTATTAATGATTCCCTCGAGATCGACGACATTTTTATCTTCGCTCTATATTTGAAATAGTGAAAGTAACCAAAAAACTAACGTTCCAACTGAATGGATGAAAACCCTTCAAGTGTGCGAGAAGCAAACGTAACAATCCAATGAAAGAGAATCTTAGAAGTACTCGAGATACTTAAGTAACTCACGAATGAAGGAGTTTCTGAAAGTGCGCGAGATACTAACGTAACAATCCAATTAAAGAGAATCGTAAAAGCGCGCGAGATACCCACATAACAAAATTTCATATCTACAAGTAACCATGCAACAAAATTCTCAGTTATTGAATTGGTCCTTACTGACAGAAGAAATCTTTCAGGTACACCGCCAAAATCGGCTGGTGGCAAATCTTTTAGTTGTTGATTTTCGTTCTCAGCCGCGAAAAATGCCATCAACAAAGCCACTGAATGCGTAACTTTCGGATTTTCTCTTCGTATTTTGGTTTCCTTCCCCTTCTAGAAAAGTTTAACGTCACTGTCTATAAAGTATACGGATATTTCACTGTTTTAGCAGCCAAAATCCGGGAAAATGCCGACAAACAATGAAGGATTGAGCGGAATGGTGAAGGCTTTGCCCTAAATTCACCAACCTGACCGGGTGGCGCTTACTACGAGCGACGTGTCAGCAGCTGATTTGCGATATCAATCACACGTGAAAAATATGGTATTTCTTTTTCGCTAGACTGGAAATCCTTGTATAACACCGTAGTTTATATGATAATCTAAAGTAACAATTTGATGAGAGAGAATCTTAAATGTGCACGAGATACTAACGTAGCAATCCAGTGAAAGAGAATCCTAAAAGTATGCGAGATACTAACGTAAAAATCTAAGAAAAAAGAATCCTAAAAGTGCGCGAGATACTAACGTAACGATCTAACGTAAGAGAATCCTAAAAGTACGCGATATACTAACTTACTACACCCATTTTGAAATCACTGGGGGTCCCTATAATCTGATTGACTCTAATTGGTGCGATTTATTCACAAATCGCATCATTTTTTGCTTTAAATCGCATCTTTTTCTTAGCCAATGAGGAAGCCACACTAATAAGAAAACAACCAATCAGATTTCAAGGCTTGTTTACAGTAACCAATCAAATTGCAGGAAAGTGAGCCACTCAGGATGGCATCAGTAGCATCGAAACATACTTTGCAGATTTAAAAATGTCGTTTTTAATGCAGATTGTAATTCCTTTCGTTTTCAATCTATTTTTGTGTTTGCGTCTTATTAACATTTTGCCAAAGATACACCTCTCTTTCTATTGTATTGCCTCGTTTTCAATTCTGCTCCAACAAGCTTAAAAAGACATTGAAATTCCAGATGCAAATAAGATCAATTTACTGAGGTAATAGTAATAAGCTACCTACTTTCTTGATATTTCTACTAGAATAAGATAAAAATGCTGACGTTGGCAGTCACGTGACGTTCCTCGTCATCATCTTTTCGCATATTTCACGTCTACTTATTTTGCTGTGAAGTTTCCATCAATTTTTAGTCGCATTCGCTTGTCCATTGGGAGCTAAAGGGTCAATTTAGATCTCAGCCTCGTTTCCAGCTCAATTCAACTCTACGAACTACCACACGTTGATCAGGAAATCTTTCTCTACCAGTGTCAGACTCTTCTGTGATGATGGTATATATATTTGTAAACGGAATTATATACATGCTAGAAAACCTGCGATGTGATTTGCAGTCCTAACAGTTTTTTCAAGAATCACAATAAAAATATACGAAATGTGAAATCGGGTAAACCTGTCTCTGCTAAACACCATTGAGCTGTGCACGCTTTTCATGGCCTCAAGTGCTGCAGTCATCTCTCTGGCAGTTTGGTCCAAGGTCACTAAACTGTAAAGGATGCTAACACTTATTCAAAATTGACATTTGATGCTTAAAAAATTAAGATAAATGAACCTATTGAACAATATTAACATGGCAATGACAATGATGATAATAATGATATAGTATTCGTCCATTATTGTTACTATCTTCTACATCAATGGCAATAAGTAAAATTAAAACTCGAGCCAAGAGGTCCACACTACCGGAACTTATCGCTGTTTCCGTTGACTGAATCTATTAGTAGCTACTCCGTAGTTCATCGTAGGGTGACCGAAGAATACTTACTACAAGTAAATGATCGCGACTTAACGTAATTTTGGTTTTTATTACGTCGTGATCTCGGTCCACATCCTGTGAAAAACTCATCCTGTGTTAGCTTATCTTACTGAGAAAAAAATGTGGACTGGAAAAACCAAGTAACTACCAATTTCAAAACTTTGTCTTTTCTTAGGCCTTATTCGTTTCTGCTGAGTTCATCGCGGCTTCCCTTTGTGAATTCGAATTTTAAAGGATCTTCAGGACTAAAACCATACTCTCCCAAGAATTGGGGAGAAGTGTTAATCGAATTAGCCTAAATGGAGGTCACCAATTACAAACCCTACAGATGTCCATAATAATGTTCAACTCGGAACTTATCCGTGACAATTTCGCGTGATATTTTCGTGTAGTTATTATTGCGTTACAGGATCGAGATTGACTTTTTCGAATTAATTTCGAACATGGCCCAATCTCTAATCTCGAATTATCGTTACGATGTCGTAAATACATCAGATAAAAGGTTAATGTTTGCCTACCGTTTATCGTATCGAATTCACCCGTGAAATCGTCCGTAACGGATGGTATACCCCAGAATGTAAATTTTTCCGGAGACAGAAGAGCGATTAAATCGTTGATGCCAGACCGAATCACGTTTGAAGAGCACTGACAAACCACTGACTATAAATATCAAGATTCCACCGACAGGTAAATGTGAAGTTTGCTATGAATACGAATGCGCGTCAAATTTTGGGTGATTCATTGAATTCTCACTTAATCAACCGCAAGCGACTCTTGTCCGGATTACGTTATGTCGTTACGTCAGATCCAGTAAATTATTGAAATGATCTTTAGGAAATGTATAGCGTTGTGGTGTACATTCTTTTCGAATTTTTGCAGAACGCAAAGCGCAATAGAACTTTTCGATATAATTTTGGAAAAGGTTCATTAAAAGGGTCCTTTAGGAAAATTCTAGATATTTACTCATGGTCAGTGGCTCTTGAGTATCTTTAGTTTTTCCCGAAACACATATGCCTGACCCTACCCCGTCATATGGAAGGTCGCACATAACAGTGTACTAGTAACGTATATCAAAGCCTGCTTACCTTTGCGTATTCGCGTTTATTTCCGCTTGAAAACATTCCAGTTGCTTTTGCATGTCTGATCGTGCTAATCTTTCTGACTCATCTCTTCTGCTTAACAAGAAAAAATCTGTTGATGAAGTTGTCTCGTTAACACCAGACACTTAACTACGTATTATATTTAACTATGTGACATTAAACTTAGAGATGTGTCAAAATTTTAGGCAAGATATGTGCACGGAATATTCTTATGTTCGATTCATTCTTCAATGTGGTCTTACGAACCCGTGTTTGGTCGTTTCGGGTTGATTTGTGGCCCATGTTTCCTTCTCAAGCCACTGCTCAATCCTTTCCGGCAAGTTGGAGAACACATCGCGATTAGCTTTCAACACAGCGATGAACGACCTCCTTGAACGAGCTCGAGCGTCGTCGATCGTCGTTTGTGATTCGGTAGTGGGGGATTGTGTGTCTGTCATTGCCACAATACAGCGAATAAAGAGCAACGATTTAAAACATTGAGTCCTTGCGCATGCAGAGGGTTGATAAATTAAATCAATAGGCCATTTTTCACGGTTGAGAGATCCGATCCTGAAACACCATCATTCGCACTTTGCCTCGTTCTCGTGCCTCAGTGAGAACTTGAAAATGGCCCAAACCGCTGGGAGAATGTTACTAGATTTCTGAGAAAAACCGGTGTCATGTACTTGAACATGTAATGTATTTATTCATTTATTTTATTTTACAATTTTGAGAAACGATTTTTGAGCTGAGCATAACATAACCTTTTCAAAAGCTTAAAACAGACGAAAAACCAATCAAATATACGCTCATAATTCATATACCACAGTCCTCCACACAGTTTTAATTTCAACAACGTCTGATGTCTCTAATCTAAAGAAATCGTTATCTTTGAGGCCATTATAATTATGACGTAATCTTTCCAAGAAAGGGACAAAATCCCCTGTAACACATTATAATGACTTAGTTTCCTAGAGGGCGATTATTTCACCGCTGAGTGGTTTCCACTACAAATCTTCATGTTCGATGAACAAGAGCTGTCTTCAAGATGCAAAGAACTTCGGAATGTGAGTTGACGATGCACAAACCAAAATTATTGTGACCGACCACTACATGAGCTCATGAAGTCGAAAACAGAATTGAAAGTCGCTCAAACAAACATTCTTAATATTAAATGGACCATATCATATTTTTGAAGGTGAAAATGAGACCTCAGTGATTCGTCTCATTTATGACTAAATACAATAATGGAGTTCAAGTCGTGATTTTCTTCAAACCTGGCATACTCTAATACGATGATATTAAGAAGTCGACGACTTTTCAGTATTCTCGGAATTCTTCTGCAAATTTCAGCTCGGTTATGATAAAGTATTTCAAGCGCTTGAAGCTTTCTATGATTCGGATAACTTCAAATCAACTGCTGAATAAAAATTCTGCTTTTCTACTAATTGCCAATACATCAACTGAAACCACGTTTCATTACTTTGCATTTTATATCTGTCATCACCTGCCTCTCTCATCTATTTGACATTTCTTTCTGAAGCATGTGCTTATTTAATTATTTAGTTGTTGACTATAATTATCGTTCAACAGATGATCAAGAGGGAGGTGAACTTTTCCTTTCCTCTCCTGTTACATTCATCGCTGTGGTAGCAATTGACTTTGGCACAACGTTTAGTGGGTTTGCATTTGCGTTCAATAACAAAGAAGGTGAAAAAAGTATTCACATGAATAAAGAATGGAGAAGTGACCAAGGCTACTCCACTATGAAGACACCGACATGTATGTTGCTCAATCCAGACCAGAGTTTCAATTCGTTTGGCCATGAAGCCAAAGATAAATTTGCTGATTTGAAGGAAGAAGAGGCTCGACAATATTTTTACTTTGATTGCTTTAAAATGACTCTTCATAACAATAGGTTTATACTTTTTTTAGAAATATTCATAGAAAGATATTTCTCATGTTGTTGAGATGATTAATTCCGAACCGAAACTTGCTGCAAACATAGAACTGATAAACTTTCGAAATAAACGTGGTTTTTCTCCTTACAGAGCTTGAATATAAAGACCACTGTAGAGGCAGGAAATGGCAAGCACATGAGGGCTTTGGATGTTTCTAAATATTCCATACCATATCTTTCAAAGATATTATACACGGGCACTTGAGGTGATTAATATGGAAAGCAATATGGAAACCAGCGGCAAAACAATTCATGAGAGAGGCTACTTATCAAGTGAGCTGCTATGATATACACATTTTACCGTGATGTACTTCTTTCCTACGGCCATTTTCCGCAAGATGTCTCCGTAACATCATCTTCATTGACTATACTGACATCCAGTATTTGTACTTTTATCTCAGGCAGGGCTGGCACATCCCTCAAACCCAGAGCAGATACTGATCGCTTTGGAGCCAGAGGCGGCCTCCGTCTACTATAGAGAGCAAAAGGTGAGAGAGTTTGTTGCTGAGAGTGGTAGTAACGATGCCTCAGTTGAGGACACCATTGCCCGACCAGAAACACAGTACATGGTAATTGACATTGAAGGTAAACTCAATTTTCCTAGTAGCAGATTGTTCCACTCGAAACTCTAGACGTGAACAAAGACATCGACCTTGTGCGGTTTAATGCTTTATTTTATTTATGTTAATTTTTTATTTTTGTCTATTTGCCGCGATGATCAGCAGAGTAAACAGAAAGTATCAATCTCGAGACAGAAATAGTCAACACATGTAAAGCTAGACACCCCGTTTTTTAAGTGATCAATTTTTTATCATTTTCATGTAAGGTTTTCTGTTTAATAAATGTGCAGGGCCCAGTTATATAAAGTTCGAATAATGCTATGCAACGGATAAATTGCTATCCGGTGGTGGATAAGTGACAGTAAAACGTATAGCGTTATCCACCACATCAGTCCCTCGAACCGCTAGCCCAAAGTTTCCAGTCTGCCAGATTTTACGCCGGTGCACCGCTCATAATCGAAACACAAACAGTTACAGTATTATCATCGATCACTAGTAACGCAAAGTGTTAGCCGAACGGGCTATGTAGATAATCTAAATGATATCTGAATAACTCAGATAACTGATCTTGCTGGTCATATATTTAAGTATGTTTCATGAAATTCCACAGGACACATTAATGGAAAAGTATCCTTGAAAAGAATAGCAATAACGGTTAAGAGGAAGAGTTAGTTAAAAACTTCCTGCTTACAAGGAGTAAATATGGAAAACAAAACCGGAAAGAAAAAGTAATTGACTTAACATAATAGATAAAAGTCCCTCCTTATCAACACTAAAAAGCAGGTTGTTGTGGCTGATGTGAATTAAATAATATTCACCATCCTATGATACTCATCGCGAAAGATTATACTCAGTCAGGAGAATAGAATATACTACTGATTTTCTCTTAGCTCGGATGTTATTCCAAGAATTCGCGTAAGCTTAGGTCAACTTACTCTTTTCTTGCTTTCTTTCTATTGCATTGATGAAATTTATTCATTCATTTGACGTTGATATTGAACAAAGTTTGCCGTTAGTTCGCACTTTCTACGCCATTTCTACGAAGAAACGCGTTGTGCCAGGCAGATTTCAGGCATTTGAAAAACTCTCGACAAAAGATCTGGAGTTACCGACAGAACTTTGTATCACAGTTCCTTGCTGAAAACCTTTGTATACTTGACCTGTTTTTTTCATGTAATTTGGCATTATAGTGAGTTATGGGTGTTAATAGAATATTTTGAACTTTTGACGACTCAAAGTCCAATTTTTATTGAAAGCAGTTAAGATGTTCTCTCTTGTTTTTCTCGGTCTGTACTGTAAGCTATTGGCTATAAAATTCGTTCTGTAACTTACAATACGGTTCTCGAACTCGATTAGTAAGAGGTAAAATTGTCGTTTTAATTTCTTACAGCACTGGAAGACTCACTCCTTTATACTTCAAGGCGCTCATATCTGGCAGTTGTTGCCATTGATTTTGGAACAACCTACAGTGGATTTGCTTTTTCATTCATCAAAGATGAGGGAAAGGACGCCATCTTCATGAACAGAGACTGGGCGAATGAACAAGGCGCTCAAACAAGCAAAACCCCGACATGCCTGCTACTCAAAACAGATCTGTCATTTGACTCATTTGGTTATGACGCGATGGAAAAATACAGCAATCTTCAAGATGAAAGAGAAGAGAAAGATTATCTCTTTTTCAAACATTTTAAAATGACTCTTCACAATGAGGAGGTAAGAATGAGCTCCACTGATCAGTTTCAAATATAAATTATTAAAGACATAGACGGCACTTTCAATTGATTTTAGGCGTAATTACCTACGCAGGATGTTGGGAAAACATGAGAAAAGTTTGTAAATCACAAGCTGGATGCCAGTCTACTTCCACTGCTTTCATAAATATGATATAATTTAATTTTCTTTTGGTTAGCCGGCGCAATAAACGGTTTTTGACGAACCAGGGTGCCTGTGGTATCTCGGTGATACTTTTCACGTTCTAGAACAGAAGAGCGAGCAGACAAAAATAGCTTTGTCTTTACTTCCAGACTTACCCCAACCGTCCGGCCCGATAGTTGTTACTTGAAAGAATTATGTTTTTCTTTTTTTTAATTATTTTTTAAAATTAAATATTAAACATATCGTATTATCTTATTTATTCCGACAAACACGTTTACAAAATGCTTATTAATGCCAGCGTAAGAAGCGCTGGCTCGACCTTAGCCCTGACTATAAGTCCACCATAGCTGTCAGGTTCAACCGTAAACTCGCTCATCTTGAAGGACTTTGTCATGGCGAAAGCATTGGTATAAAATTTCAATTCCGTCATCTTTAATCGTATCATACGCGTCAATCTTCGTCATCCTTAAATATTTTGGTTCCTCTGAAGTTTCTTAGAATCTCTTCTTTGTTGAGGCGATTGCAAAAAGATATGACGACATATTTTCCCTTAAACGCTGGGTTCATTCTCTCCTAGAGTCTTGACAGTAAGACTCTAATAGAAGGCCAAGGCCAAGACAGTGTTTACAAGGTCCATTACATTTCTCAAAGACGAAGCCATCAAAGTAATTTGTCAGCGGACTGGAGATGATCATTTCAGTCCAGACGATGTCCAATGGGTTCTAACTGTTCCGGCAATATGGACTCCAGGCGCAAAGCAGTTTATGAGAGAAGCAGCTTATCAGGTAATGTTAAAATATCATGTTTTATCCAGTCCGAAATGAATGCCTCCAAACCTTGAATCTGGGTGTGCCCACAACTTTATATGAAGTCTGTTTAGGTGTGCTAATCTTGTGGCAAACATAGTCGTAACATTTAATAGTGCATGCTTGTTTTTTATCGACTTTACGACATCTTTCAGGTTTGTTTTTAGGTTTGCCAACTAAATTAAAAAGTCTTTGTTTTTCAAAGGCTGGTGTGGGATCACCAGAGAATCCTGATCAACTGATGATCGCTTTGGAGCCAGAAGCAGCTGCAATTTTCTGTCAAGAGAAAAATTTGAGTGATTTTCAGGCGGAAGTCGGCAGTAGACCTGTGGATGGCATATTATCACAAATTAATACACACTACGTTGTCGTGGACATTGGAGG